GAGATTGCTTGTCCTATGTGCAAAAAGAGGTTAGAACTTAAAAATGAATTACAAATAAAAAATAATAAAAGTTGTAAATGTTCATGTATTCCAACAAGTTTCAAAATAAGTAAAAATGATAAGAAAATGAATATTGATAAAACTAAAGACAGTATCAACTTAGAAACTGATGTCCATAGTATAACTTTTAAATTTGGTAGGCAAGCAACACCAACCGATAATAATGAAAATGAAACTCAGGAAACTGTTAAACAAATCATGAAAAATTAGTATTTAAAGAGTAGATTTAACATAATTGCACTTTGTAAATATAAATAAATAAATATTTAAATAAATATCAAATTATTTATATAATCATAATGCCAACTATGAATGGAGAAGACCATAGAATTATAACTTTTGACAATGAAGAAATTAAAGACCTATTCGATGGTGATAAAAACTTTGCTAGACAATTGAGTATAGAATATTTTTATTGGTTAGATGCTAAATTTAATAATAAATATTTTATGAGAGGTATAACTAAACCAGATAAATTTGATAAAATGTTGAAGTTTTTTGAAATTACAGGTAACGATGAAGGTTTAATAAAATTGAAAAATAAAATTGATGAAAGACTCTTAGAATATAATTTATTTACATATATAACATTAAATTATTCAGGTAAATTATATAATAAAACGTATAATTAAATAAATAATTATCTAAATAAATATATAGTAATGTCTGAAAATGAGAATTATACTATTAATGATTTAATGAAGAAGATAACATTAATTGGTAAAAATATTAAAACCTTAAATGATATGATTAAATCCATTGATGACAAAATGAAACCAGTTGAACGCAATGAAGATAAAGAAAAAATCGAAAAGATATTTCAAGCAAAATCTATAGGAAGACCATCGGGCGACTACCCGACAAAGCAAAAGAAATACTGTGATATGTTGAATACAGGAAAAATCAAACAACCTAAAAGCACCACTTTAGAATTTTACAAAATTTCAAAAAATGATGATGGAGTATATGTATTATTTGAATAATTAATATCTAAGTAATTCTAATAATATGAATTTATTAGAATTATTTAGTGGAACAAAAAGCGTCGGAACCATAGCAAAGTCGCTTGGATTTAATGTGATATCATTAGACTTGAAAAATGCTGATATCAACACTGATATTTTGGAGTGGGATTACAAACAGTTTGACAGAAACCATTTTGATTTTATTTGGAGTAGTCCCCCATGCACTGAATACAGCATAGCAAAAACTAGGGGAATTAGGAATATCGAATATGCAAATAGTATTGTCTTAAAAACTATTGAGATTATCAAATATTTCAATCCTAAATATTTTGTAATCGAAAATCCACAAACTGGATTATTAAAAAATCAGGAGTTTATGGATGAGTTTGAATTTAAAGATGTAGATTATTGTAAATATGGATTTAATTATAGAAAGAGGACTAGGCTATGGAATAACATTACAACTTGGAAACCTAGAGATTTATGTAAAAAGGATTGTGGCAACATCAGGAATAATAAACATATTGAAACAGCACAACGGCTTCCATCAGGCACTAAGGAAAAATGGGGAGACAATCCAATAATACATAAACAGGAAGATTTATACAAAATACCTAGCGAATTAATTTGTGAAATCTTGGTGAGTTTGAATTAGGGGCGGGCCCAGAAAGAAAATACACACACACAACCCTGACCCAAAACCCCACTCAAAAGTTGAGTAAAAATACTCAGAAGTTGAGTAAAAATACTCAGAAGTTGAGTAAAAATACTCAGAAGTTGAGTAAAAATACTCAGAAGTTGAGTAAAAATACTCAGAAGTTGAGTAAAAATACTCAGAAGTTGAGTAAAAATACTCAGAAGTTGAGTAAAAATACTCAGAAGTTGAGTAAAAATACTCAGAAGTTGAGTAAAAATACTCAGAAGTTGAGTAATCATAATTAATTTCATAACCATACTATGATTATAACATTTATACCCTTATATGTTATAATTATAATGTAAAATGACTTAAAGGAATAAATACTTAATATAATAAGAGGAAAATGCCAATGCTAGGAGTGACAGAAAAAGAGCTGGAACAGGATAGAAAGATAATATTGAGTTTCATTAAGGATAATCCCTATCCATCGTATAAACAAGTCATTGAAATAATTAAAAACGATAAAACAATGAAAGATATATATCCAGATATGTTCGCTGAGTATGGAGAACAAAATCATCAATGGATAAAAGAGATTTACGAAAACATAATGAAAGAAGAACTCGTTAAACATAATGGTAATAGTATTAATGAAAGAGGAGGAATGACAACAATGCATTTTAATTATTATACTTTGGTATCAGTGTTGCGTTATTTAATACAACAAAGAGCACCAATGAAAGATTATGACGTTAACTTAATCTGGTATAATATCAGAAACATTTTGAGCAGTTCTTGGAACAACATAGGAGACTGGAAACACTAAAAACAGGTTTAATCATACTATGATTATCACATGTAAAATATTATATGTTATAATTGTAATATATTTATCGTTTGTAAAGATTGAATTATTATAATTTGCTTGTCTCTTTCAAAGTGCGTTGTTTAGACTTGGCATGCTTCTTCAATTTTTTCGTGCGTTGGCTGTTTGTTTTTGCTTTGTTTGATACTCTTATGATATTTTTTGTTGGTATGTTGCTTTGTTTTTTGTTGATGTGTGTTTTTGAGTTTGGGTTCTTTGATGATTTAGAGTGTTGCTGGTTTGTTGGTATGCTTGTTTGAATTATTTAATGTTGCATGCTGTGATTAAATATTTTTGTTGCTGGTTGTGATTATTTATTTTGTTTGCTTGTTGTTCTGGATTTTGTTTTCTGTTTGTTGTGTTGCTGTTGGAGAAAAAATAGTAGAAAGAATAATTCTTTGAATTCTCCTTTTACTATTTTTTGGGGGGGGGTTCGGGTTCAGGTTCGAGTTCGGGTTCGGGGTCGTCGGGTTCGCTTTCGGCCCCCCTTTTGTTTTTTTTTGGTTGGGGTGGGGGTTCGGGCCATTTTTTTGGGGGGGGGGGGGGTGCGGGTTCGGGTTCGGGTTCGGGTTTGGGTTTGGCGTCGGGGGTTCGGGTTCGGGTTCGGGTTCGGGTTCGGGTTCGGGTTCGGGTTCGGGTTCGGGTTCGGGTTCGGGTTCGGGTTCGGGTTCGGGTTCGGGTTCGGGTTCGGGTTCGGGTTCGGGTTCGGGTTCGGGTTCGGGTTCGGGTTCGGGTTCGGGTTCGGGTTCGGGTTCGGGTTCGGGTTCGGGTTCGGGTTCGGGTTCGGGTTCGGGGGGTTCGGGAGGGGGGGGGGGTTCGGGTTCGGGTTCGGGTTCGGGTTCGGGTTCGGGTTCGGGTTCGGCCCCTCTTTTTTTTTTGGGGGGGGGGGGGGGGGTTCGGGTTCGGGTTCGGGTTTGGGTTCGGATTCGGGCCCCTTTATTTTTAGGGGGGGGGGGTTCGGGTTCGGGTTCGGGTTCGGGTTCGGGTTCGGGTGGGGTACCCCATGACAAAATAATTTCCTTCGCCATTGAATTATTTTTTGCTGGTTGTAAAAAAGAAGATATTCCCTCTATCCTTCTCAATGGTGTCGTTCTCCTCGACGGTTTCGTTCTCCTCCAATGTGTCATCATCTTTCATGGCGTCATTGCCTTCTGCAGTCTTGTTCTCCTCTATATCGGAGGCGGCGTTCTCCTGCGTGGTGTTCTCCTCCAATGTGTCATCATCTTTCATGGTGTCATTGCCTTCTGCAGTCTTGTTCTCCTCCATATCGGAGGTGGCGTTCTCCTGCATGCTGTTCTCCTCCAATGTGTCATCGTCTTTCATGGTGTCATTGCCTTCTGCAGTCTTGTTCTCCTCCATATCGGAGGTGGCATTCTCTTCCAATGCGTCATCATCTTTCATGGTGTCATTGCCTTCTGCAGTCTTGTTCTCCTCCATACCGGAGGTGGCATTCTCCTGCATGGTGTTGTTCTCGGTGTTGTTCTCCTGCATGTGGGGACCATGCGCTTCATGCGCGTTTGCAATGCATGTGGGGTCAGCTTCCCTGTGCGTGCCAGCTAGAGAATCAACGTGTCATGTTTGTGAATGGCAGCGTTGCAAAGGGTCACGCTTCGTGACACTTCTCCAACGATCAGTGTGACTGCAAACATGCCACAAGTGATGCAACAAGTGGGTGGGGTGGGGTGGGGTGGGGTGGGGTGGGGTGGGGTGGGGTGGGGTGGGGTGGGGTGGGGTGGGGTGGGGTGGGGTGGGGTGGGGTGGGGTGGGGTGGGGTGGGGTGGGGTGGGGTGGGGTGGGGTGGGGTGGGGTGGGGTGGGGTGGGGTGGGGTGGGGTGGGGTGGGGTGGGGTGGGTGGGGTGGGTGGGGTGGGTGGGGTGGGTGTGGGGTGGGTGGGTGGGTGGGGTGGGTGGGGTGGGTGGGTGGGTGGGGGGGGGTGGGGGGGGGTGGGTGGGTGGGGTGGGGTGGGGTGGGGTGTGGGGGTGGGGTGGGGTGGGGTGGGGTGGGGTGGGGGTGGGGTGGGGTGGGGGGGGGGGTGGGGTGGGGGGTGGGGTGGGGTGGGGTGGGGTGGGGTGGGGTGGGGTGGGGTGGGGTGGGGTGGGGTGGGGTGGGGTGGGCGGGTGCATTTGCATACTGCACTGGTGGAAGCCTGGTGCGAGAAGAACAAAGTCCCCGAACGCGCAGTTCACGACTCCTCGGGACCAGGTTGCAGCGAGGTCGTCGTTGTGACTGGCACAGCGGAGCAAAAGCCCAGCTGCTGCAGCGGCCCCTGCTGCGACATCCAGATGCCACGATCGCCTTCCCTGCGGACACAAACCCAAGGAGTGGTTACGCACGGTGATACGTATGAGCATGTACCTGGAACAAACAGCGGGATTTGAAAGGGCACAGCTGGGGAGACATACTTTCTCGGCAGTGCCAACCCACTGCACATACTTCAGACAATGGTGCATGGTTGTTGCCTGCGTGTTTCCTTCCATCGACACAGAGCGTCTGTGCATGGGGCCAGCCTCTGACAAATGACCTCCAAGGTTTGCGCGTCTTCTGTGCAGTAGAGAACTGCACTGCTGCCTGGCGAGGGCTTCCGAGCAAACACTCGGACCCACCGAAACCAAAACACACAGACCTTCAACCTCCACGCTGAAGTGTACATGTCAGACTCCTCTTGAGGGAACTGAGCAACATGCCAAAGCCTGGTGGACCACTCTGCCGCGAACCCCTTATGTCGCTATGGCCAAAGCCTGCTGCAAATAGCTTCTGCAAACAGCTTCTCTGAGTAGCTAAGTACGAAATAGATGTAAAGCAAAGATGGACGGTGCTTTATGTGCCGAGGCATAAACGCAGGGATGTGACGTATCAGTTTTGGTGAGTCCCCCTTCGCCACTCAAGGAAGACATGGACACACTGACCTGAATGAAACACCTTGACAGACTTTTCATGACTCACATCTACTTGCCTTCCAGTGAGGGTGCGCCTCGCAACCTTCAATTGGTCGGCTGATTTGGTGTTGCGCCTGTGCGAAGCCCGTCAGAGAGCGACACCTGGAGGCAATGCACTGTTCGGCTGGCGCTGGCAAACGGGCAGGTTGATAATCCCCACTGCTAGCCTGACAAAGCACGCCTGACACCTTGCCCACAATGCAAACTGAACTGGAAAGCATCCTAGCCCTAAACACACCAAAGCCAATGGCCTCTTCCATCATGAGCCTTTGGGTCCCAAATCCAAAGGCTTGGAGCCTGTGAAGTCGTATGAAGTCGTCACGGGTTGAAATGAAACCTGGCCACGGCACCAGCTCCGCGTTGGCCGCTTGCGGGTCCGGGCAAAAGTTCTGCAAGCCCCGGCAGCTCAGCGGCCTGCCAGATGCGATCAGACGGGTCAAGCGGGTATGGGTCAACATTAAACCACCAGGGGACCGCAGGTTTTTCCATTTGCCAGGGTTCCATTTTGGGTACTTTTTTTTGACACACAGCCAAGTGTCAAACCAAGAGGCTGAGGAGCCACTTGAGAAAGGGGGCTGGGAGGAGGGAGGGATCCCAAAAAAGCCTTTCCCTCCCCCCAGCCAAAATGACTTTCAGACTGTGGACAAGCCTGGAATTTCCAGGCCGCAAATCAGTCGGGAATGCTTTGCAACCCTCATACACTTCCCACTGCGCCGCACAAATGCAGCACGCTTCACTCTCAGAGACATGGGCTCATAGAGTCCTCCAGTGGAAGAGTGCCAAACGGCCAAGCAGCATGAAGCCCAGGCTCGCACGGCGAGCCACGGCGCCACTGATTTGTGCGCTCTGGGCGATGTAACCGAGGCGCTCACAGCTTGGCTTCACGGGCTGGGCCGTCTGCTTGAGCGAAGCCGCAACAGGGTTCTCGAGTACCACTGCGCAGGTCTGGCTTGAGCTCACGCACTCGAAGCCCTCAACAAGACCGCAAAGAGATTCCATCAAGGCGGTTTCGTTGGTGTTCCCGGCAATGTTTGCCTGCAAGGTATCCAACTGGCCGTAGATCTTCAAGTAGGCTGGGCATGCAGTGCAAACACAATCAAGCATGGGGCTCAATGCCGCAATGTCCAGGGGATTGCTTGCATTTGCTGACACGCTGCACTTGGCCGTCATGCATGTCAAAGCGGGTTGGTGCTCGCACATCAGGGTAAGCACATCGCCTGCGTTGGACGCATTCAAAGCAGTGTACTTGGCATTGAACGCGTCCATTTCGGGACACAGTTGAACGCAGCTGTCATCCTGCAGAATCCGACCTGTCGGCTCCAGCCCACGCTAGGGCAAGGCCAAGCAAAGTCAAAAGCGCTGACTTCATGCTGCGCCCCAGCTTGTATGAAGCTTTGAGGGGAATGGCTGCAGCTGTGCGCAATGGCTTTGGAAGGCTGAAAGCATGGCTTGCAACAAACAAACCTGTCAAGATTGATCTGCCGACCTCTTGCTTGGCTTCTTTCAGCAATTGCCACTGCTTCCCCATGCCTATCAGCCTTCTGAATGCCATCCTGCAATACTCTGCTCTACAGTTCTTTGGAACGCACTATTTACTATCTCAACCAAGATAATGCCTGAGAAGCTTCTGCTGCTTTTCCTTTTGATGATGATGGCTAAGTTCCCGCACATATAGAAAGCTACAAAGCCTCCTCATCGAATGCTCTCACAAGTGCCAGGGACGCTTCAGCAACACTGATTCCTAATTACCTTAGGCGCGCTTGGCATGCGGCGTACGGTTTGTGGGATACAAGGCGTGCCCCACAAAAGGAGTTGAAAGCAGCCTTCTTCGCTTCTTCCCCCAATCGACTCCTTTTGTGGGGCACGGCGTGCTGTTTGTTTTAGGCCAGGCCTGGGCACGCGCCCATCCAAGGTCGTCCACGTGCCAGGCACCTCCCCGTTGTAGGTCGCCAAATCGAAGACGCCTGGCCCGCATGGCTGTGGGTCCAAAACAGGGTAACCCCAAAATGGAACCCTGGCAAATGGAACCAAGGACTAAAACCTGCAGTCCCCTTGTGGTTTAATTTTGACCCACAGCCATATTTCCGCGCCAAAGTCAACGCGGAGATCCAACATGGTCTTGTCACGTGCAGACTTTCGCAAGGTCTGAATTTGGTCCACGGATCCCTGTGCTTACTCAGACTACCAAGCTGACCCAATTCCCTTTTACATATCACCTTTTCGATTTCACTGGGCTCGCCAAATCGATGTCAACTCGAAATTCAACTGTTGTATAGCACAGAACAGTTCGATTGCACAGTCACATGTTAGCCTGCACTGAAGACTCACCTCACTTGCCTTTAACAATTATGAATGTTGGACATTGTTATGTTGAGCTTGTTGCGGGAGCAAAGGCAGGACCTTATTCGGAGAAGGATAGAGTAACCTCTGTTGATATTCCGTCTTAGTCCCGAGGGAACATTCACCGCTAAGGCGGGACAGGGTGGCTCTCAGCAATCTTTCTTAACGACATGTTTCCTGGAAATGGCCCCTCCGTTCCTTGCTTCTGTCTCTCTCTCTCTCTCTCTCTCTCTATCTGGCCATGGGTCAAAATCTCGTACCCCCGGAGAACATCCCCATCCGCACTGAAATTAAACAAAAATGACTAAAATGGGAGGTGAATTCACCTACCCCAAAATGGTACCATTGGTTTGACCCACAGCCATCTAGGCCTTGCTTTGTCTCTTGTTGCCTTTTCCTCTGCCCGTGCCTTGCTGGCAAACAAGCACCGTGTCCATCGTCAGCCGGGAGGGCTCGTAGCCCGCATCGCAGGACAGCCTGGCCACGCCTTGGTCGCTCACTCTCACGCAAAAACGCCCTTCGAGCGCCGCTTGATTCTCCCCCTTCAGCTCTAAAGATCAAGCCTGATCAGATCTACTCATTCTTTTTCCCGCTGCTTCCCCGGCTCCCAGACGCCCATTTCAAATGCAGGGCACTGCTGATGTTGTAGAGATCGCTCCTCAGATCGAGCGGCAAGGTGGGCACCGATCCCGACCCCTTGCTTTCGCTTTGCTTCGAACCACCTTTGCCTTGACCCAACACTCCAAACCTCACAACTGGGTCACAAATCCTAGCCTTGATCAGCAAGGTGCCCCGCGAGCAAGTGCATGGTGACGAGTGGTATGTCAGTGTTTCCCTTTTTTCAGCAACCCCATACCCCATCCCGTTTCAATATATGTATTTATGTGTGGCTGTCTAAACTCCTTTTATCCCGCAAAGGACACCGCAAATTTGGGACGCCCCCATCGCTTCCCTTTTTGTGTTTCTGTTTTCAGGGCATCGCTCTTACAGTTACATATTCTATGCTCTCAAAGTCATGGCACCCGAACCAACCAACACATCCGCCATCACCCGCTTCAACCTCCGCGAGCAAGTAGCGCAAGCACTAGTCACTCTGTGTTTGTTGATGCATACAAGGCAGGGCATCTCTTTTGTGACCCATCGCTTCCCGCAGCTTTCTTAACTTTTGGGAAAACCGATGTCCGCCGAATACATATTCTAGATACATGTAATGCAAGTTTTGACGGTTGCTCATATGTGTGTGTGTGTGTATATATATATATATATTTACATATGGCTGTGGGTCAAAACCAATGGTATCCCATTTCGGGGAAGGTGAATTCACCACCCATTTTGGAACCTATTTTAGTGGTTTGATTGGGATGTTCACTGGGGGTACGGGCTTTGGATTTTGAGCCATGGCCATATTGCAGCCAAGTCGGCAAATCCAGCAGCACCTGCGGCGCCAGAACGAGCTCAGGGCAGCCGCCGTAAACGATGGATCCTCGCTTGGCCGCTTCGACTGTCCAAGCCTAAGGTTGCTGTTGACTGCCCGACACTCGGCTTTGGTTTTAGATATCAATTGGAACCCACACCACCACAATCATGGGTCATGGGTCAAGGGACACCACCACAATCATTGGTTTTAGATGTGGCCATGGGTCAAAACCCAAATCGTACCCCCTGTGAACATCCGATTCAATCCAACCACTAAAATAGGTTCTAACATGGGTGGTGAATTCGCCTACCCCCAAATGGAGCCGTTGGTTTTGAACCATGGCCAAATTGGAACCCAACCGCAACAAGTTGGGTCTGTGGCAAAACGAGGATAATTTCAAGGTCAGAACGCCACCAGGAAAGGGGAGGCCCATACAAGCGACAACATCCTGCCTGCATCGGGCCCGCCCGTAGGTTCTTCCTCACACTCCCTGGCGCGGGTTTGCGCAGGAAGCAAGTTATACGTGCCGTCAAACCGTCTCCACTTGGCGATCCCATACGTCTTTGTTCATGTCTGATTTGTTGGATGGCTGGATGCTGGATATGTGTTTGTGCTTTTGGTTCGTGTTCGCGATGTTTGCTTGCTTGCTTGCTTGCTTGCTTGCTTGCTCGCTCGCTCACTAGCTGGCTCGCTCGCTTGCTAGCTCGATTGAATGTTTGTTTGTTTCTTATGTTGTGTGTTAATGGTTTGTTTCCGTTTGCTTGATTGTTTGTCTGTCTGTCTGCCTGCTGACCTGCCTGCCTGCCTGCCTGCCGGCCTGCCTGCCTGCCGGCCTGCCTCCCTGTCTGTCCGTCCGCCTGGTGTTGTTGATTTGTTTCGTTGCTTTTGGTCTTTGTATTTAAAATATACTTATTATTTAAGTGTTGTTTGCTTGATGAACCCTTCTTTCCATGGTTCATGAATATTCCTCTGAATCGTGAGCAACTCAAAGCTCGGGGTCCCACGGTATCGAATGCTTGTGATGAAGCTAAGGCTCCATTACTGTCACCTTGGCACAAAGAGGCTTGAGTCACTAGTAGCAAGGGCTGCAGGCTGAATGACATCGATATGGCAAGAAATGAACTCAGGGAGCGTCCTGAACATGCTAGTGTTACTGTATCACTGCCTGCCTTTTGTAAGCTGCTAAAAGTCCGCAGAAGGATGCGCGGCTGCGGAGATCTGCTGCTGGGATCGCGTAATGACGCTGGAGCTTAACTGCATGTGCAGAAGGTAGAATGGTCTGACCCAAATTCAACGGCTGAGACCCAAGCACCGCCTCAATTTTTGGCTTGCGCTACCAAAACGAATGGGCCCAGTGGCGTGAAGAGATTGAAGCCGGTGGCAGTCAGGACCTGCGCAAAGAACCGCTTGCATACACGCATGCAGCGCATAGATCCACGTCATGAAAACATGATAGGTCTGTTGACAAGCAGCTCTTCTGAACCAACGCGTGACAAAGAACCCGCAGACTAACTTAATTGAGACAAAGCATTCTGGAGAGAACGCCTTGACGCAACAAGCAGGGCCTGACCCCATCTCCCGAGTTGTCCAATCGCTAAACATCAGGTTGTCAAGGTAGATCATTGACTGGGGAAAACAGCACCAAGCTGCAACACAAATTATCACTAGAGTCACTTGTTTTGGGGCCCCGGGCGGCTCCCGGGTTCTGGGTGAGGTCAATGTCCGGGCAGTACTGCTCCGAGTGTCGGCCTTGGGCCGGGAGGAGTCGCAGGTCAGGGACCCAGTGGGATGTTGCCAAGTACAGCTGGAACCACAAAGCGAGGACGTCGCGGGCAGCTCACCACAGATTCACCACCAGCTGATCACATGCGACCCGCACCCGAACTTCCCGAAGCGAGCGGCAGCAGCGGAAGGGCTTGGCCAAGTCCTGGGTGCCGTGCTTCAGCCTCAGGCGACGATTCGCACAGCTTCTGCCTGGCCCGGAATCGCCCGCATTCCGCCAACGCCCCCCCTTGCTCGGATGACTCTTCCAAGAATCACATGGAGACTCCAGGAGACGCCAAGTCCTCCGAAACCCGAAACGGATCGAGGAGTTGCCGGGAGGCCAGGTGCCGGCGTTGGTGCAAATGATGTGGTCGTCCCCATCGAAGGCTGAATACCCGGGATCGCATGTGAAGGAGACCTCGGAAATCCGAGAAAAAGAAAAACAGTTCTCTTGTATTAAAGTTACTTTAGGGAAAACAGGCCAAAAAATACCAGTTTGCACCTCCAAGCTCAAACCAGGCGCCCCAAATTTCCGCAAAACTCTGCGTGACACAGCGACGGCCGAGGGTGTTTCAAGAAATCCTTCCCTCCGCGCCTCCGCAGCAGGGCGCCGTGGAAACAGCCGGTAGCGGACGTCATTAGGGTTGGTCACCAGGGACACATACCTCAGCTTGACAATCAAGGTAGAATTGCTAAGTGCCAGGTAGGTGGTTTCCATGATGCAGTGGGAGTTTAATCAGTCCCTTTACCATCGCCTTCGGGCCCTGGGCAAGACAAAACGAGGCATGTGAAGGCTAAAGCCTCAGACTCGGGGTTCGAAGTCGAGGGTCGAGGTCTGGGCGAGATTCCGTTCTTGGAAATGTAGCACTGTAGTGTCAGTGCAAATAACTCCAAGCCAAGTCAGTGAAGCCTTTGAGACCCTTCCGCCCCGCAAGTCCAAAGGCCTTTGTCATGTCACGCCGCCCCCCATGGCTCCATCGCTTCAGTCGAGCCACGAGCGGTAGGACCAGGGCGTGGGGCACACGTCGTCCGTCATGCCGCAGGCAGGGTCCTCTGAGCTGAAGATGACCCAGACCTGAAGCCAGCCACAAGTCGTGTCAAGACGAGCCTGATGAAAAAGTGGTGAGCCATGTGGCCATGGCTCAAAATCCAAAGCCCGTACCCCCAGTGAACATCCCAATCAAACCACTAAAATAGGTAACCTAAAATGGGTGGTGAATTCACCAATCTCAACCAAAATGGGATCCCAAAACGGTTTTGACCCATAGCCCTATGAGCCCTGAGAGCCCTGAGAGCCCTGAGAGCCCTCGCGTCTGCGCCGGCCGGCCCGGCCTCCTCCTCGGGCACGGCGCGGGTGTACACGCGGATGTTGCTGTACTCCCCAGGGCTCGTGGGGCTGTGGATGCCTCCGATGTCCAGCCTGTCACGACACGCTCACCGAAGCAACTAGTGATTGCCTGGCCGCATCCAAGCCAACGAAAACAGCACAAAACAAGTCCATTGCAAGCACAAGCAACTCTGAAGTGCCACCCTGGCAACCAGACTGCCACCGGCAGTCTGGAGCGTGGCGCCAAGCTGCAAATCCTCTGGATCTACCCAAATGAAGTGTGTGAGCTTCTCCGTGTTCACATCAACCTTTGATGGCAAGGGCATCGGCACGTGTAGAGAATGCCAGCGATATGCTTCTTTCTTGTGTTCTGCCAGATTCCAAACTTTCAACAGAATGGCAATCGATGACGTTTCTTGGCTGCTTTGTTTCTGCATTTGTCGACCTTGCTGCAACTTCTAGTAAGCTTTGAATGCAGGCACCTTAACTCGACATGGAAACAGTCAACGTACTCCTGTCGCTGAGGCCCACGCTGGGTCAGCCAGCATTCCATCCACATACAGGTAGCTGCGGCCCATGCCTGGCAACTTCGCAGCCAAAGATGGTGCTCTGAACCTTCCGACCACACAAGCCAGGGGCAAATTTGCCCAGGCCAACTCAGCAATGCTAGAAAACGCTCCTTTGACGATTCAGCAGCTGAAACCCTCATGAATATCCTTAAGTGAGATGCTCGACGAAGGACCCGCCTGCCAAACCAACGCCCAAATCCCAGACATAGGCAATGTGGAACCAGTCGCCCGGGCCCTTCGTGAAGTTCTGGGTCACGTCCTGGATTTCCAAGCAAACAGAACCGGCTGAAGGCGGGCTGACGGCAAGGCTGGCTTGATGTCCTGAAATGCCGGGCAACAAGCTAAAGCTACTGCTGCAACTATATGAACTGCCGTCCACTCCGCCCGGCCAACACCTGGGACCTGCCCGAAGCGACGGTCCATCTGCAGCTCCCCGACGCCGGCGTCCACACGGGCGTTCAGGACGCCCTCGGCCACCCACTGGATTCGCCACCTTCGCCAATGGCCAAATTGAGAAGAGGCGACGGTGGAGTGGAAGACTCCGTCGCAAGAATGGAGCAAAGCGCAGGGATGTTTGGCAGTCTGTTTTGGTCGAGTGATGCTGGAAGGGCACAACAGGAGTCATGGTTTGGAGGGGTGGCTTGGAGTGTTTTTTTTGGGGGGGGTTGTCTCCCGCTTATCCGCAAGAGCGAAGGTTCAAAATGTTCAAAGCCAAAGCACCAGTCAAATGTCAAATGCAAGCTTTTGCTAATGGCAACCAGCGATATTGGCAAATGGCAATTCGCAAGCCTGAAGCTAGCGAATCCCATGAGCAAACCTGTTTGGTGGCTTGGATTTGCGTTCCGGTGGCTCAGCTGACGGCGGCTTGCTCGTTCCGTGAAACACCTGGAGGGGGGGGGGGGGGTGGCAACAGGGAAAGTCTCAAGTTAGCTCTTCGTTGTATATTTGGGCCACTCGAGGCTATGTGGGCATGTGGTGGTTCTCCCCTTGGTCTCCCTTCAAAAAAAGAACGGGGTACTGGAAGGAACAGGATACTTGGTACTTAATAAGTGATGAGTAGCCATGACTACAACCCACTTGCCATGCTTGCAAGTCCCCCGTGTGAGCTACAACAGTCACTAGCCACTAATTATCCCCCTTCAAATGGGCCAGAATGTTAATTGGGGACTTGGTGGACATCATTTAGGTGGGGATTCATGTTCACTAATCACTTTTGAGGTGGTTCCCTATTAAAAGTCATGGCCAAATACTCTTGCAAAAGAATACCAAAGACTCTCAGCCTGGTGCGCGCCTGCCACCTCCATGCTGCCCCTCGAGGACCGTGGAACCCACGATCCACTCGCTGGGCCGATGCCAGAACAGGATGCCCGCGGTGCGCTCGAACCAGACCTCGGATTTCGGCTTGCGTCAGCAACCTTCTGAGCAGCTTCTGGCACTTGGCGAGATGACGGAATGCCTTTGGCCTCAAAGCCTCGGAGTCCATGTTCTTCACCCCACCCGTCCTCGTGCAGATACAGCAAATCAGGCGAGGCGCCGGGATACTCATGTTCTCGGTGTTGCCAGCAAAGTCCCCCATGAAGCAGCCATTCTCAATGAAGGTGGTGTCGAAGATGGGGCTGCCCGTGAAGTAGCAGTGCCTTGCTCGCTTGGTCAGAAAGTGACACTCAGTCGCCCTCTTTCTGGGGATAAACACGTCTAAACGCCACGGTTGCAATGAGATTCACCTCCTCGTGTTCTTAGTCCAACTTGGGTCAACCTCAAAGGCATGGCAACAAACAAACATGCGCTCCATTAATTCAATTCCACTGGACTTGATGGACACTGTGGGATAGCACATCCCACAATCACACGAAAATGATTCGGAATGTGTGACCCGTTCTGCTTGTACGTTACAAGGAGCACATGAGCCAACATTTTGCGTTGGTCCCACCCTGCTGTCCCCTAATAACCGCTTCATGGCTTGGCGGTCAAGGGTGCTGCCGCGGCGCTTGGTGACCGCCAGCATACCCCGCAAGCTGCGCCACGCACCCTTGCCCTCGGCGTCGAGGCCACAAACCACGTTGGAGTCCCCGTAGCTGTGAAGCATCAGGCGGTCCTCCCGGAGTTCTCAGCTTAGAAGCAGCGCACTGTCCCATCAAGGCAGGTTGCTGCTGAAACTGGTAGGTTGGGCTCACTGAGTGCCAGATGACAGTTAATTAGTTGTCAGCATGCTGCCATATCATCTCAGGAATCAGGAATGCTTGCTGCTTTATTTGCTGGAATATTCACTGTTTGAACGGTCCGACGGTATGAACGGAGTCCTGCCTGCAAAGCGCACGCACTATTCTAGGAAGAAGAAAGTGACTTGCTGTCTTCCACAGTTAAGAAGTTCTATGAGGATCCATCTGCATGTGGTGCCCTCAACAGCACCGGAAAAGCACAGCACTCCATCCCGGGCCTGTCGACAATGCACGCTGGCGGTGGAGCGGTACGCGCGCGTGCGGGAGCTGTAGGCGATCTGGCGCTGAGCTTCTCAGCAAATGGGTGTGGGTCAAAATTAAACACTAGGATATGGACCGCAGGTTTTAGTCCATGATTCCATTTACCAGGGTTCCATTTTGGGTACATAGTTTTGACCCACAGCCAAATTACAAAGTCACTTCTCTCTGGCCCAGTTTTCAGAATGCCGCTCCAATCTCTCGTATTGGACCCACTGACAGCTTTTCACGGCTTGAAGAGCACCCCTTTCACATGCCCCAAATCGCCGGAGGCGCCGTACGCAGCTCTGGGTCCATCTCCAAGTAGTCTGCATTCCTTCGCACAACAGCTTGACAGACCGAGTCCAGCCCTGCAATACCGAAGTTTGGCCCGGGTTCTGGGGTTTTGGGGAATTCGGAGGCCCGGTTCCGTTCGGTGCGTCCTCCCCAACAGTCCACCAATAGCAGATTGTGGTATTGATGGTACGGTCAGCTCAGTGGAATAGAGCTGGGCTTGGCGCAAACCAGGTTCGAGTCAGCTCTTGCGGGTCCCAGCGGCACAATTGTGTAAGCAGTCAAAGGTGGACACCACCAGTCCAGGGGGCTGCACATCAGCTGCCCTGCAATGTCTTGACCTTCAAGCTGCAGCTTCAAACCCATTCGCAGAACTTCGGTACTGGAACTCAGTGAGCTAGCTCTCTCTGCATGCGCCCGTGTGTGATCTCTCTGCATAGATGCGATGTGCATGAAAAAAGCTAGGAATAGAAGCGGTTTGCCCTGTGCGTTAGTTCGACTCTTCTGCACGCGCGCAAAACCGAGACAACTGACAGAGGTGGGGACGCGCCTTTCACCATATCAGTTTGTGTGGCAAGCGGCAGCACTTTCGCAAGGTCAAACAGGTACAGATTTCGTGGCAATCAGCGGCTTTGCCGGACCTGACCTTGTGGCAGTCGCGTGGACACACGTGAGCTGACTGCCGAATAGAAGTGGGCTGAAACCTGGTCCTGTGCGAGAACAGCCGCGAAACCCCATCGGCTCTGGCCCTCTGCTCTGCAAGTCTGAACCGAACCAAGCCGAACCGTTGGAAAATATTCAGGAATCGAATCGAATTGCTTCCTTAAAACCGAAACCGAAAAGAAATCTCCCAGAACTGCTGCAAAATAGAACCGAATTGACCCGAACCGAGCCGAACCTTCCTGGAAGAAGCTTCAAACTATAGTTTTCCGCTTCTTTTGAAACTTTCACCCCCCGGCTCTGCCGGACTTTGTTGGTAACTTGTAATATCTTAGACTTCTTTGGTGCCTTAAACCCTGCAAGTCAGCTTCCCTGGCTCTGGGCTGCAGGCCATCGGGCGACATCCAAACGCCTCCAGCAGTAGTGCCGATGGTACAATTCACCTCGCGGCGCAGATCCAGAGACAGCATCGATTAGCCCCGTCGCTGAACTTAAATGCTTGACAATTGGGCAAGGACATTGGTGTTTCGGGAAAGAAGTGCAAGGCAGCTGCCATGCCACATGTGAGCCTGCAGCGTGATCTCGCCCAAGATGGTGTCTCCAAATTTCATCCTTGGGGCACGGGTGTGCTGTCCCCCGTTTCAACAAAGCTTGAACCCATGATGCTGTTCTCCGCTCCGAAAGACATTTTGTCGAACGTTTCACCCGAACACCTGGCTTCAATGGCAAGTAACATGGACCTCAGGAACAATTGCGTCTCTTATCCGGGCAAACTGTACAGAACTGAGCAATCCAAAACTTCCTTCTCGACGTCAGACTTGCCGTCCCGCCAGCTTTCGTCCAATCGTGCCGCACGCCACAAGAAATCTCTGACCACAAGAAATCTCTGACTTTGCGGAAGGCTCGACTTGTGCCAAGCGATGACTTCAACCATTATGTCACTGTCAGTTACTCAGACTTGAGTGACTTGCGCATGCTTCCAATTCCTCCGCCATACCTTGCCAGTGTTTCACCCGGCAATGCTCAGGTCAACAAGGCGATCTGACGTTTGAGCTATGATCAGCGGCAACTTGGTGCGGGTCCCGCGTGCAGCCCCTTTAACACATTGATGCCAGTCAAACGAAAGCTTGTGGCTCCCATTTGCACACCCATTGCTGGCTTGTCTGAGAAGAGTTCTTGCTTGTCAAACATTGCCGGTCCCCACCCAACTAACACAACTTCACCATGGCAGTGCGGGATTTTCACCCAGTCACCCAGGTCTCACTCCGATTTTCGTTCCATTTGGGTATGGATCAAAATCAATTTGGGTATGGATCAAAATCAAAGGGATATGGACCGCAGGTTTTAGTCCATGTTTCCATTTACCAGGGCAAGCCATTTTGGGTACATAGTTTTGACCCACAGCCAAATTACAAAGTCACTTCTCTCTGGCCCAGTTTTCAGAATGCCGCTCCAATCTCTCGTATTGGACCCACTGACAGCTTTTCGCGGCTTGAAGAGCACCCCTTTCACATGCCCCAAATCGCCGGAGTCGCCAAACCACAAGAAGCAAAAATGGGGAACATGTTTCCCAACGACCATGAATTTGGGGTTTCCCTAACTTTGACCACCGCTTCACGGCGAAGCTCTCCAGGCCCGGGCCGCAGGCCAGCTCCGCGGTGCTGCCCAGCTGGCGGTGCTGCTGCAAGTTGCTGACCCGGCCATCCAGCAGCGCCAGGCGAGGGCCTGGGCTGGGCTGGGCCCCAAACTCACCTGAAAAAGGCGAGGAACATGCCTATGTCACAGGGCTCCACTTGACTACAAGATAGACTTAAACCCAGGGTTTCAATCCGTTTGGGGGAATGAACCCCTAAGTTCAAGTCTACACTTGGGTCGTCAAGTGGAACCCTGCTATGCCAAACGCGCAAAGAACAACCACCTGCAGGCAACCGGCGAGGCCAAATCCGGGAAGCTGACTGTGCGTAGCTAGAGAGGCCGCGAGCCCCATGCGCTCGACAAAGTCGCTGCACTTACCCTAACCCTACTCTTGCTAGTCTGTGGCCAACGGAGGTCCCTATCAATTAGCCCTTGAACACACAATTCCCACTGTAAATTCTCCCAAAGGCTTCAAAAGGTCCTTGCCACCTCATCTACCCCACGAGGGTCCAAGCCCAAGTGCCGACCTGATGACCTGGGCTGCCAGACACCAGTTGTACATCTTTCGGCACGACAGGAACTCTGCCGGGTTGATGCCCTTGCCATCCCGGGAGGACCAACGCCCGCGTCCACTCATGGGGCCTGAGGCCAGGGAGAGGGGGATGCCAACAGCTTTCTGCTTGATTCGGTCATTGAATGGAGGGTTTGTCAGTTGGCTGTGGTTGTCAAAACCCCTGTTTAATTTTGGTGAACATCAAAATAGGTGGTACACGGGTGTTCATCCGCCCCAAATGGAGGCGTAGTTTATGACCCATGGCCAGTTGTTTCCCTGACCCTCAACTGCACCTTGTGACACTCATCCCCGGCAACGATCCCCGGAAAGGAGCGAGTTGTCCTTTCTCGGTCCGGGACGGCAAGGTCGTGTGCTGTGAGCCTCTTGGAGGGTGGCAAGTGGGAAGCAAACTGGCCTTGCATTAAACAGGCAAGGCAGCTGGCAGGGCAAAAATAGCAGTGAAGCACACCGCTCCCAAATTCCAAGTCTTTTTCAATCGGTTTGCTGCCACATGCAGAATCATCACTCATCCTCAACAATCAAAGTCTACCCCAAGCAGCAGTTGCCTTCCTTGGAAACAACCCCATGAACGCTGATCGTGAGCCCAAAAACAAGGGAATGTGTCTAAAACTAGGAGCGAACTTCCCGTTGTTGGCTTTTAAAGGGAAACGCAAAAACACCACAAGCCAACACACTGCCGGCCTGGCCGGCAGAAGAGCTCTGGCGGGTACTCCAAGGCCACGTTGGGCTCATAGGCCAGCAGGCAGCTGAACGTCAACACCTGCGGAAGCCACTCGCCATTGGTTTCCATCGGCGGTTCCGGCGCGCAAACCGGAAAACGCCATGAGTCTGGAAACGCGCTTGAAACAACTAAGCTGGCAGGTGTTCTGTTCAAAAGAACAGTGTGCATGCCAAAACAAATCAACTCAGCTTCTTTGCGAAGCGATCTACACTGCGCGGGGCGATTTGACCAATGTGCCGCGTTCTCAATGCAGGTCCAACAGTCATAGGTGCACAGCATCTGGTGAATGCGAATCAAAGATTGGCAACTTCAAGGCCGCCATTGCACACTGACGCGCTCGCCCAGTCTTTCCAACCGAGACCCGTGAGGTTGGCCCTTTCGCTGCGGGAACTGCTCGAGCTGAGGCGCGCTGTCCATTTCCAAGCCGGCGCTGGTGTGGAAGGCAGTGCCCTCTGGTGGCACTGGCGATGGGCAGTACCTCAGAGAGGCTTGGCGAGCACTTGCGGGCAAGTCACTTGGAATCTGTTGGCCCCCATAAAACATCGAAGGCCACTTCAAAAGGGACCTGAAAAGAGGTGTGGTTCCCTTTTGCTGGATCTCAGGGTGACCCCGTGTTCAATCCCCTATGGCTTCCTTTCAGGGAATATATGGTGGGTGTGGCTAAAAATTAAACAGGAGGGGCAAACCGCAGGTCTTGGTCCATGTTTCCACTTTCCGGGGCTCCAGTGTGGAAAATTCCGGTTTTTTGAGAAACTGTCAGATGTCATATGGCTGTGGCTCAAACATGGCACCTTGATAAATGCAACCAACGACTAAAACCTGCGTAACCCCAGCTCTCTAATTTTGCCCCACATCCATATTTCAGGGTCATTCCACCACACCCCGGCCAGCAAGTTCCAGCAATTCCCTCGAGGTGCTCCAGCACCTTGCCGCACTGCAGCCGCTGCTCCAAGCCGGCGCCCTGGTGCTGCCAGGTGCCACTGGAGGCTGAGGACTCGCCTCGGCTCATCTCCGCTCCCTCTGCTCCGAGGAGGTTTTGGTTCCTAAAGCCCAGAACATTCTCTCTGGTTCCTCAAGCGCTTGCGAAAAATATTCTGTGGGTGATCCCCAAGCGCTTGTTAAGAGTATGCCGAACCCAACCACGCGCCATGTAGCTTCATGGAAACACACCTGTGGGCAGGGGCCACGAAAAGTCTGACCCTCTTTTGCTTCTCTGTCTGAGCAAAACTGACCCTCGGCATGCACTCGCCGGCTCCGGCCGCCTGGGGGCCCGGCAGGTGAACTGGGAAAACCCGGACTGGGCCTGGAAGCCCTCGGCGCAGCCCAGGCTGGCCACGGAGCCCAGGAACCGCTCCTGGAGACTGAAACGAGTGAAACATGGCTCCGGCTCCAGGCACTCGCGTCATGCGGCCGTGGGCGTCAAAACCGTCTTGGGATCCCATCTTGGTTGGTAGGTGAATTCACCACCCATCTTAGACCCGATTTTGGTGGGGACAGGGATGTTCACTTAAAATACGGGCTTTTGACCCATGGCCATGCGTTGCGAGCAAAAAGGTGTCTCACCTTTCACCTTGAAAATGGGACCGGTGATGGAGCCTTTCACTCATGCAGCCTTTCACCTCTGCAGCCTTTCACTCATGCAGCTCGGTGATCCGGCCGCTCTGGATTTCGGCAAACATGTGCCGTTGACCACCCTGCCTGGCTATCTTTCCGTGGCACAGGGTAGCGTCACATCAGTGATATATACACAGGAAGCCATGAAACCGAAACAAATCCAGGCTCAACGTGACATTCTGCAAACGCCAGTGCGAATCTTGGCAACTGAACTCCCGAGTCCGTATCCGGCATGGCTTTGCTAGGGTGATACAAGCTCGTCTGTTCGAACTGGGAATTTCCCAGAAACCTCCGAAACCTTTGCGACTCCTTGGAACCCGCGGCCCATGACCCCCGCCTTAGACAGAGAGAGCACCATGCCGTGGGACATCTGCAGAGGCTCAAGCGAGAGAGAGAGAGAGAAAGCCAGAGAGCCAGCACTTCAGTGTCTACGAATCTACAGCTACGAAATTTGGCCATGGGTCAAAAATCCCGTACCCCGAGTGAACATCCCACTCCCCACCAAAATAGACTAAAATGGGTGGTGCGCCTACCCCAGAATGGTACCATTGGTTTTTGACCCACAGCCATCTCTGAAAATTCCAGGTAGAAAAAGTGCAAGGGCACAACCGGGGAACTCGGAAGGCAAGCTGATCAGTCGTTGTTCCCAGACTTAGCTCTGCTTTGAACGCAATATTTGGTCAAGTGGCTTCAGCCACCAAGGGTTGGTTTTGCAGCATCATGGCATGTTCGATGTGAATTCCCATGGCAGGCGGGCGTGAAAGTTGCTTCCAAAAACTCAATGGGTCACCATCTGTGATGATGCCATGCAGAGCAACCGCGATGGGGCCCGGAACAGGCGACTTTGCAGGCATCTTGGCAACTCCGTGTTGAAGATTCTATGAAAGCATGGGGTCATTACCAAGGCCGCAACCGGTACAGTGACACCGTTTGCTTGACGAACCCACACGTCAATTGCCCGACTACCAAACACGGCTTCCGCCCAACATGATATGAGACCTTCTCGCAAAGGATGTCTCGCGGCTGCGGCTTTCTCGCCCATATCTGTCCGAAAGTGATGTAAGTCACGATTCATTTCATGGTTCCTGCTGCAAAGTTTGGCGAATGCCGATTTGCTGGTAAGTTGGTCTGCGTGTGAGTGTGTGTGTGGGTGCGCCCAGATCATCCCCTTTGATGCATGTAAAAAATCGCATGAAGCCCCATGAGCTCCGGCCTGGAACATGGGGCAGTAGCTCTGCTTCAGGCGACAGGCCAAAGGTTTCCAAGGCACCTGTCTCATGGCCCCCAGCTCTGCCCTTCCGCTCGCAACTTCCGAGTTCAGCATCTACACTGCGCCAACCTAGCATAGAAGCCATTAAAAACAAATCTATGAGTGCTTGCCGTCAAGAAAATGTCAGTGAAGATTGCCGGGTAGATGAAGGTTAGTAAGGGCCAATCCCAGCCATAAATAGCTGCGGCCGCCTTCTTAATTCTTTGAGTGGTTCTGGGTTCACCATTTTAGTACCGGTGTTTGATTGTGGCTCATAATATGACTTGGATGCCTCCGAGGGAACCGAGATTGATGTGGATGCCAATGCTTTCCAACGCCTGTACTTCGTTATGGGCAAAGGCACAACACTGAGTCACACAAAGCAGCAAGTGGAACCCCATGATTTTGCATTCCGCCCTAGTTGGCGCAACGTAAGATTAGATTGCCCAAGCTGAGACAAATAGTTCGGGCCGTTCAGGCTTCCCCCGCCTGGCGGCGACTGATGTTGCTGGGGCTCGCCCAGCGGCCTTCCGGCGATGCAGGTTTTCTGAAGGGTGGGGACAAGACTTAGGCTTGGCTCGTAGACGCCTGAGGAATGTGAGGCTCATTGCCCAACCAGAGTGTTCATTGCTGTTGATTTAGGGGAAGCCCTTTGGGCATGGTTGATAGGGAGTCCCTTTGTGTTTTCGATGGCTTCTGCGTGACATCATTTTTTGTTTTTCTCCCTCTCTCTCTCTCTCTCTCTCGCAATGACTGGTTTTATTGATTTGAACACCTCAAAGATCAACACTTGACGCTGACGGCCCTTCGCGGCCCGAAACTGCATATGTCTTTTGTTTGTTTTGTGATTACAGTATCTTAACTATCAGGCTTCAACTATGTCAAGCAAGCACGAGTGTGTCTTTTTGTGTGTGTGTGTGTGCTGGATAAGCTCAAGCCGCGCGCACACACACACACACACGCACACACAGTAGCTCAAACAAGTGAATCACGAGCGTTGTCTTTTCCAACCAACAAGCAGCTTGCTTAATCCGCGTACAACTATCTGTTGCGCTTTGGCCCCGCTATGATTGCTGTGAAGGCTGATATGCACATGCAGTCGTTTTGTTGGCTATGCCATCAATTTGGGGGTTGCTTTCGCCCCAATTTGTTGGACTTCATGTGAAGTCAGGAAATGCCAGGCTGCCAACTTCTCAAACGCCAGAGGGTGGTTTTGGGGGTACTCAGTTGGTCAAAGGTGCGGCTGAGCTGTTTCTGTTTTGGACTGACATAGCTTTTTGGTTTCCCTTGTCAAGGTCCGTGTGGGCCTGCCTCTGCGGTCGTCCGAAGGGTCGATACCACAAACTGCTGTGGCTTCTCCCACACTTGGCTCGTATCCCACGTCACACTCCACCTGGTGCGCAAGTTGGGAGGAATTTGCTTTCCTCAGCAGCAACCTGCTTCGGTGAAACAACATTGGCAGAAAGCCAAGACATTAATCGCAAGAAAAGGGGTAAACATCCATTGTAGACAAGGCCAGACTTCATATCCGTCCAGGAAGAAGAAACTTAGCGGAACAGTTGCTTCGCAATATTTGAGCCGGAAACTGCAGACTTCTTGCACTGGAGACGAAGCGTGATGTGTAAAAGGTCGGGCTGGGTCTTGGCGAAGTACGTAGCTGCTCGTGAATCAGTCCATCCAAGACCAAGCAACCAATCCAGAAATAAAACACAGGTTTAAGAACCCTCAAGCACACTGAACATCATCATTCCAGCAGGCTCCAATTGCAAGTGGATGTCTCATCTTCCAACACAAGAGCCTTATTATCTTATGACACATCGAGTGTGTACATTACAGCACAAGATTACGAGGACGCACAGAACAAATAACAGGCCTATCTATTGACGCAGTCTGATTCTGATTGCTGCCAAACTGGTGAATCGGGAATCAGTGCTTCTCAGCAGCTGCAACACAAGCACAGGTCTGCAAAACGAAGTTCGGAACTGACAAACACAACTTAGTCATGTTTCCAGATTCGTCTCTGAAAAGCCGCCGTCGCTCAGTCAGTCTGTGTGTATCTAGAAACTCTAACTGCAAACATTCACATCTATGACCCTGCCATGTTCACGAGACTTGCGTGACAACACAACGGACAGTATCCCTTGCACACACTTGGCTGCTCGTTGCAAAGCACGCACCAGGCCCCGGGCTAAAACTGTCGCGTTCAGGTGGAACTGGCGTGCGGCCGAGCGGGAAATCTCCGAGCCCAAGTGAAGTCACAGGCGGTTTGTCACCAAAGGCGAACTGGAACAGCAGCATATGCTTCCGCTGCCAACGCAACAACTTCCACTCAGCCAAAGCTGAAAGTGGATCCCATCAGTATCTTGAATATTGAAAATAAGCTTCCAATCATTCCAAGCCTTCTCTTGGGCATGAGCATCTCTGCCCGCAGGCCTCCGAGACGTGGGCCACAACGCCCTCGCCCAGCAACGGCGCAGGGTCGGAGCAGAAGTTGGGGTCCGTGGTGCACTGCAGCAACTGGCCACGCAGCTGAATTGGGCGAGGCTTACCGACCCCCGGCGACTATTTCACAAGGCCGAGTTTAGACGAAACGAGCCGCAGCACAAACATGTGCATATATATATATATGTATACATATATATATATATATGTATACATATATATATATATAATATAACGTTACATCAAACCAGCAGCGTCTAGAAAACACATTCAAGGCTGCGCACGAGTCATTTTCAGGCTTTCAGCTCTTTGGGCAGCCCAGCTTGCTCCAAGCTCACTCGGGAGCGAAACTCTCCGAAAGGGTGGCCATTTTGAAAGAGGTCCCTTTGATCTCGTCGGACGTCCGTTCTTTCCTTGTTTGTTGCTTTCGTACTTTCTTTCGCTATATTGATCCTGTCTGTTCTAATCATGTTTCTCTTCATTTTGCTCCGCCTCTTCTTCCTTCCTTCCTTCCTTCCTTCCTTCCTTCCTTCCTTCCTTCCTTCCTTCCTTGGACGTTCGTTACACACGCACAACACTCACACTGTCCTCAGTTGAACAAGAACAATTGCCAAGACATGTCCTACGACGCTGCCCCACCTCACTGAGGGGCTGCGGCATCGTTTGCAGTGGCTTATGCCAAAGCCCGTCCATGCCGCACCTTGGTTCGCAGCTTGGAAGATCAAACCAGCTTGCAACTAAGGCTTGAAACGACCTGGAAAACACCCTGATGGGAGCATATGGCAGTTGATGCTTAAACATCAAGTCGAACATCACACACAAGACCGTACTAAACTGCCCACTGCTTCCATGCTCTGCCAGGAGCACATCTGCCGGGACAGGCAACAAGCAGTGAGCACCCCTGGAACCTGCAGTAAAAATGCTGATTGCTTCGGCAAACCTTTCAACAGTACAACCTCCAAGCAAGTTTGCCACATTTTGCCACTCAAGCGGCAATGCTCAAACACAAAACTCCGGGCATAGTCAACCCCGACGCGACCTCCACTGCGCCAGGAAGTCAAACGAGATGTCTAATGGCACCAAGGCACACCAAGGTTGCGTCGCCGCCGCTCGGGATCTGGCCTCCGGCAAACCAGGGGTGCAAAGCAAAACGAGCCAGTGTTGTACAAATGTCGAGTGGGATGTGCTGAAGGTGGTTGGTCAAAACCTCTGTATTCGGAGCGCTTGCCGGAGTGTCGCAAGTTGTGGGGAGTTGTTCAGGCTCCAGGACTGCTAAACCAGTCAACCCTTCCATGAGCGACGGGTCCCCTTCCATGACAGGGATTCTTAGTGGCAACCCTACAGAGTAGTGAGCGGGGCGTGATAAGGGATCAACACGACATCCCCCATATCATGTTTTCTGATTTTGTTTATCTGATACATGATCGTTGCATCATAGTGCAGGAATCTTATTGAACTTTGGCCATGGGTCAAAACCCCGTACCCCCAGTGAACATCCGATTCAATCCCCACTAAAATAGGTTCTAAAATGGGTGGAGAATTCACCTACCAACCAAAATGGGATCCCAAAACGGTTTTGAGCCATGGCCATTGGTCGCCGTCCCTTCCCCTTGCGCTCCTGCGCTGCACTGGAGCACCGCGACGCTGCCAGGGTCTCGCCCCGCCGAGGCGGCCGCCAGGTTGTCCGGCAGCTGTGGGCAGTGGTTCCTGGGACGCGTCCGCGTCACCGGAACCGGAGGCCCGTGGAAGCCGGTGCCGGTGGTGGGGAACAAACAGGCACCAGTCGTTTTGGGGAAGCTTGCACTGTTGTTTGATGGCTGTTAGCCGTTTCTGGTGGAGCAACGTAGAGAAACTAACTTGCAGGAGAGAAAGAGCCGCACTGAGAAATCATTTGGGCGAGGCCAGGAGCTAACCTACAGCCGCAAAAGGCAAGCGTGTTGCTTGCATATAATTTGCCAAATATGTGTGCTCCAATGTGCCAAACAGGAATCACCATCTCTGTTGAACACCGTGCTTTCCGTGGAACAAAGCCGAGCTAAACTGCCCACGTCCAAGTGCCACAAGGGTGCTGCAGGGGCATGCAGGCAGCGGGGATGTAGGCACTGCCGTCCAGAGCCAGCCAGCGGCCCTCGCCGTCGCGGGAGCCGCAAATGATCTCCAAATCCCCGAGGAGCTTCACCTCGAGCGCAGTACCATAAGCGAACATTGGGCGAGAGCGGCCTATGTCATCCCTCTTACCAGTACAATTCGACAAAGATTGACCGCTGCTCTGGAAACTGAGGGAAGCAACATCATGCTCTTGACGTGACCTTCTGTCAACCATTGCGCGGCAACATAATGCATCTGGACACTGGTTGGGCGCCTTGCCTAGTTAAATCTGTCTTTCATCAATGTGTCACGTATCGTTCCTACTGCTAGGCTGCAACGCACCCCAATTCTTTTTCCCTTCTCATCATTCATAGTCTGCACTGCCCGTGCCTGTAACAACCCTCATCACCTGAGGGATAATGCTTTGGATCTCCATGCATCTCCTGCATGGACTGTGCTTAGAGACTGGTCAACTCCGGTTGGGATGCCTCTAACATCCTTAAAAGTTCCCCCCCCTCGAAACAGCACAGTGCGCCCTTGCGCAACCCCAGTCCCATCGGGACCTTCAAAGTTGTCGGTCACTGGACGCCAGGCCAGACAACTAGGGTGGGTTGGGTGGGGAAACCAAAAAGGTTTGGCTCAGCCTTGATCCAAAATGGCAGACCCATAACAATTGATGATACATGTTCACCCAATGCCTGCCAAGCTCTAAACATGGCATACATCAATGTGTCACGTATTGTTCCTACTGCTAGGCTGCAACGCACCCCAATTCTTTTTCCCTTCTCATCATTCATAGTCTGCACTGCCCGTGCCTGTAACAACCCTCATCACCTGAGGGATAATGCTTTGGACCTCCATGCATCTCCTGCATGGACTGTGCTTAGAGGGGGCCACCGGTCAACTCCGGTTGGGATGCCTCTAACATCCTTAAAAGTTCCCCAATGCACTTCATCAACTCCCAAAGCACTACAGAAAGCTCGTCACCGCGAGCACGGCACGAAATGGCAGCTTCCACATGATGGGGAAACAGAAAGCAGTAGACATTGAGAAATCATGGCGGGCCCATGGGTCCTGCCATCCTAAACGAGAAATCGCATCTGACCAATTGGATTTGGAAGGGATCCATTCCCAATACATCCAAACCTTCAGCCCATACAAAATTGTGTGTATCACGTGGGACATTCGTTCCAGGTCGGGTTCTCTGGATCTACCACGGATTAAACACATCAGGGCTGCGGTGTTGTCGATGTACCACACTCCCCGCCGATTACGGAATGTATCCGGTCGGCAGAGAAGGGCGTACAACACCATGGACAGCTCCAGTTGAGCAATCTTCCGGTCCCCCGGAGTCCACAACTTGTAAAGCTCAATTGGGATGTCGGCTACAAAAGCTTCCCGTCGCTCGGTGAAGCCGTCGGCCCAAACCATCAGGAAACCCCCCGTCCCCTGACGTGGGCTCTCAAGAGCCGCATCGGAAGCGATCACAAACCTCTCACATGGCACTGGCAAAACTGGAAGCACTCGCCGTGGTTGGGTGGCAAAGACTGCTTCTAGCAACTCAAGGCTCGCCTTGATAGGCTCAGTCAGCTCAGATGATCTTTCAGCCTGCCGCATCTTGATGGAGCCCAATCCTCCGCATCCCACGCGGCCATAGACTCCCATCTCCAAGAAGTTAGCCAAGCCGTAGATCTTAGCCGCGAGGCCAGGTGCTAGCTTCTCCTCGGTCCTGACCTTCTGGATCATCCCGGACATCTTCTCGTGCAGCCGCTCCCGAGCACAGAAGGACACCACGCCGTCGTGCAGTGCCTGAGATAGGCCCCAGAAAAAGGCCTTGGGCTGCCATAGGCTGCTTCTTGTCCTCGGAGAACGGCGTGCCCAGCAGCCGGTTCAGCTCTTCCAGTGCCCACTGGCCGGAGCCACCGGCTGACCGCCAATCCGTGATGCGGGCGTCGTCGAAGTAGAACGAAACCAGAAGGACCAACAATCGTCTGGCCAGCGCTTCCGCCAGCCGAGAGTATCGGTTGAAACTGGTCACGGCCAACGGCAGGCCAAAGAGCAACCCTGCATACCGCTGAAATGCAGGCGCCCCCCAGCCTTCATGCCAAAAACAAACGATACAGCCTCTTGCCTCCTCACTGCTCATAGGAGAGTGGCGATAGGCGTCTGGCCAATCCTCCCCTCCGGATTCCCACGAGTCACCCTCGCGGGCTGAGCGAAGTTGGCTCTCATCCATGCGTTGCATCACCGCTGCAATGTGCTGAGCTGGCCGCAACGGCGAACAGAGGACTAATTTGTTGGCGTCCGATGAACGGAGGGACTGTCCCCCTGTATCTGCGTTGTCGATCACTCGCTGTTTGCCTGAGGACTGTGTGATGACACACCTGGGTATGAGTCGGAATTCCTGCCCTTTGAGCTGTCGCTGCAGCTCGGACAGGGACATCGGCAGTGCACGAGAGCCTGTTCACCTGCCGCCTGCGGTCTCGTGGCTTCGTGATGGGCATGTGCACCGGGCGCCTCCGGCAATGTCACACCCCCCCGGCTCTCCGGGAGTCCGGACAACCACAAACGGCCACCCTTCGCATTCTGGTAGATGCGCGGCGCGTTCTTCCGCAAGGGCATCAAACAGCTGGTCTCCCTGGGCCACAGGGAGCACAGCCGCTGTGACGGGGCCTCCGAGTCACCCTCGGGCCAGGCGTCACGCCTCCTCCGCTTCTCCTCAGGGCCGCTCGGCTTTGGCGGCCGCTTCTGGGGCACCGCCTTGATCTTGGGCGACAGCATCATCGCTTCGGCACTGGTCGAGCCACTGCTCGCGGCCCCCGACGGCCGAGCCGGGATGGACGACTCCGGGTCCTCCACCATGACCACCTTCATCACCCGGCACACGCCCGCTGCATGCTTCCCATGCACCGTCAAGCGGACGCATGCACAAAGGTGCGCAAACCCGCACACTCGCTCCCCGAAACAATGCCCCGCCTAGAACGCCGGGCATAGCCTCTTGCCATCACGCATCACTGCGGTCAAGCGCCGGCCGTTGAGCGAGGCCGGCATCGTGGTTGCTGGCTTAGCATCTGCCTTGGCTTTGGCTATCCGCTGAAGCTTCTGCGTCAGGGCGAAGCGCTTCTGAAGCTCTTTGGGGCGTGGGGGGGCCGCCCACACCACCTGGGCGTCCCGCGCCTTGGCCTGGGCTGACGCCGCCTGGCCAGCCAGGATTCGTGGTGGGTCAGAGCCGCCACCGCGCCCACCATCCTGTGCTAGGACGCCGCGTACTTGGCCCCGCTGTAGTGCAATGGCACGCGAGCATCCTCCGGGACGTCACCTTTGGTCTGCCAGTCGCCCAAAGCTGCCATGTCGAGGGCGCTAAACCCCACCAGTTGGCCCACAGTTGTACCAACCCGCCGGAACGAGTACGACGAAACCATCGCCGGGTTCTCCACCAAGTCTGCAAACTCGTGCCGGACCATCCGGTAGACATCAGACAGCGACCACGGGATCCCCTCCCGACGGAACGCCAGCCCGCAGTCTGCCTTCTGCTTCTCCGGCACCAGGGCAAAGTCATGGAGCCAGGCCGCCGACCAGTCCCGCCCGGTTGACAGCTGTCCGGGCACGCAGAAGTCGAAGCCCTTGCGCAGTCGCCGCTGCTTCCCTTTGCTGCAGTGCGCATGGACCGTCGACATGGTCACCTTCCGCACCTCCGCCCGAGTGAGGTGCTTGTGGCATAGAACTCCTCCATAGAGCATCCACGCCGCCAGCAATGCTTGCCAGCGATCATCGCCCTGCGTGTAGAGCTCCTCCATCCGCTGCTCCATCTTCAGCAGCATCACCGGTTCCACCACCGCTGCCTGCCCCCTGGGCCCTGCCCGACGTGCCTGTCCCGCAGGCGGCGCGAGCATGCCCAAACCCAGATCCACCCTTGCCTGCTTGGTCAGCCAGCGCAGTGATTGAGTAGCACGGGCCGGGGCAGCTGTTCCTTCGTGGAGGAAAACATCAAGGTCGACCACTTCTGGTGGCAGCGGTCGAGAACGCGCCTGCGTAAAGGTGATCACCTCACCCCATGTGCGCAAGGCATTCAGCACCGTGGCCCTCTCCACCTCCGTCACCAGCCGCTGCGCCAAACGAGTGCATGATCCTCTCCACTCGCGCCGCAGCTGCTCCGGCTCGTCTTCGCAGATTGGCCTGTGCCGGATGACGCGCCGTGTGAGGGCACCACACCGCATGCAAGGGGGGGGGGGGGAAAAACACGCTCTCCCGCTGCAAAGCCAGCAAGCCACTGGCCCAGAGCCCTCCCGGCCCACGCAGTATGCCGGCTCTCGCCAAGAGACACGGCCTGCCTGCCACCTCCTCCACGCCCAGAAGACGGCCTCCCGATCGAGGCCACACTCCTCAAGGCCGGCCAACTCCACGTAGCCAATCAATGAAGCGCGCCATGTGCTCGGGGACCAGCTGCTGCACTCGCATGCCCGAGTCAAGGGCCCGAAGCTGATCCTCATCCAAGTAGTCCCGGCCCGCATAGTAAAGGTCCCAAGCTGCCGCCGGGCCAACCTCTGCTTGAACCAGGACTGCGCGCTTGGTCCATATCCCGAGCCACGGGAACTGGAACCCCCCACGCATCTCTGTGCACCTAGCACACCCTGCCACCATGCAGGGGACCTCCCGCAACGACCCCAGGGTATGAATGCGAAATTCAGAGGCCTCGGTTGGGGGAAGGTGCACCACCACCACAACTTCCTTCCACAGCCGAACGGCCTGGTCCGTTCCCCACGGGCCAGCAGTCCTTGCACGTGGGCTTCGAAGTCCAGGAGGGCCGCCGGGTGCAACATCCGCGCCTGAGAATGGGCCACCAAAGGGCCTGCATCAGCGCCAGACATACCAGAGTCCCACTCCAGTCAACAATGTAACCGAAACCAAAAAGGTGTCTGACAATTTGGCTCAGTCTTGAGCCAAAATGGCAGACCCATAACAATTGATGATACATGTTCACCCAATGCCTGCCAAGCTCTAAACATGGCATAAAAAAAAGGCGAACAAATGGGATTGCCGCATATAAGGAGCAATAGCGGATGAACAGGAAGGTTGGGTGTCAAACAAGCTTGCCTCCCAACTCATCGACTTGTTTGGTCACGTCCTTTGGAGGACCACCAGGAGACTGGGGCATGGGCCAAAATCGGCGCCTGGGCCAGCCTCTCAAAGGGTCGACGGTTCTCCAAAGCACTAACGATTGAGTAGGTCGTTTGACCATGTTGCCCATATTAGGGCTTGTAGGAGACTCAGAATGGTGTTCAATGATTCAATGGTCCTTATTTCTCTAGTTAGCATCTTTGGATATCTAAGGACTGCGTGTCATGCATATACCCCTCCCCCCTGACTGCTCCCGGAAAAGTATTGAGAACTTTGTCAATACTCGACATGGGCATGTGCTTGAGTGTTGACATGCAAGCAACGTGCGAAGCCTATGTATGGATACCAAATGCCTTGTCATGAATTGTCTTGTGGCTGTGAGTCTCATCAAGAATAGCCGAGTCCGAGCTGTCCTTACTCAGTGCTCGTTGCTCAATAGCTGAAAGCATGGGGTGATTGGGGCCCTTCAAAGGGTTAAGGACATGTCACAGTTTTCCAGTCCCTGTCCCAGGAAGCCAGTGACAGGTGACTAGTGCTTTGCCGACACTTCCCATTCAAGCCGATGCTGAGCACCCACCCGGGACGGCCCGATCCGAGACGCATGGCCCTGCAGGCACTGCGCCCTCTCACTGCTGCCCACCTGGAAACCAGGTCAGGGGAGTTGCCCTCTGGGTGACTTTGAGGATGTTCAAGAAGCTCAAGTCTGGTTGATGGCGTGACTATCTTTCGATTGAAGAAAGCAGCTGCATGCCACGCAGGCTAATCAAGACGTGAAGCCACTCAAGCCCTGGACCACGAAAAGTTGGTTGCTGTATTTGTCTCAGCTGGCACGCGGGATGGTGAAAGGGAAAGTTCCTGACGAAAGGCAGATGTGCGAAAGCCAACATACATGGGTATGGGTCACAATTTTGAACCAGAAGGGGAAAAAAGCAGGTTTTAGTCCTTCGTTCCATTTAGCAGGGCAACCCATTTTGGGTACCCATTTTTGACCACCACAGCCACATGGTTTTCCTGCCCCGAGGCCAAAAAGAAAACCCCGCCTGGCGGCGCCAGTCCCTTGCAATGCGCAGGCCGTAGGGCACCGAGGGCGCAGGCGGGCACCAGAGCGGCCTTGGCCAATGGGAGGGATTCGGGCCGGGGGTGCAACCTACCTCGACAAGGGATGTTTTCGGCAAACAAATATGGCCATGGGTCAAAATTAAAAGCCCGCACCCCCGGTGAACATCCGATTCAATCCCCACTAAAATAGGTTCTAAAATGGGTGGTGAATTCACCTACCCACCAAACTGAGATCCCAGAACGGTTTTGACAACCACAGCCATATCGAAGTCTCCTTCAAACCACGCAAAGCTGGGCGTTCAACAGCCTTGATGAACTTGGAGCCGGCCTCTCCCGGCACATCAGCCCCGAAGCTGGCATGGATGACAGGTTGAACCACTCCGCGTAGCCGGCCACCTGTGCTCAAGTCGCGCGACACAATCGCTGCAGATTTCCGAGAATCGTACTGGTCTGAAGCATCCCCTGGTTTGCCTCTCGGAACAAAGGGGAGACCACCAATTCATCCGGAGAGGGTGCCCCAAATCCCGCGGGCTCTTTCAACAACTAAGTCTAACCCAGGCTATGGCCAGCATCAACGAAGCAATATCGGAGCTGATTCTGAGTCTGGAAATCTGATAGTCGCGCCTCAGTGCATGTCACAACACAAAGCTGTCCCGTGCAAGCGAATTACCTGACAGGACTGGAAGCAGAATCTGGAAAAGTTCAAGCACATGAGTTCCGTCCGCCAACAAATATCAACCTACCATGGGGAGCCAAGTCAGTCAGCCCTTCCAATCCAGACTCAGGCAATGAACCAATGAACGCAACGCAACCGCATCCTGAGTGAATCTTGCACACTCACATGACAAGGGCTTGCCCAACTAGGATTCTCAAACTCTTGCATTGCAAAAATGATACACTTTAAGACTTGCAAAACCAGCCAACCGTCGGAAAATGCCGTTTTATTCTTTTTGTGAGATGTAGAGCAAGGGCCAAAGCAAGAAACAGTGATCCGAAGCAAGAAAATGGTGATCCCAAGTATTAACACTGCTTGGGGCCCTCTCGCGTCCTTTCGTGCACTGGAAGGTTTATCTTGCTGGCACCTGGCGGGCTGCATAGGGCGGGGGCCACTCGCAGCGCAGCTTCGTCTCTCCGCCAGCGGCCGCAAAGCCTGGCGCTCCAGGCGAACGCATCGAATCCACGGCCGAATCATGGGGTCATACTAGTATACTGTTGATGGACAAAATTCTGCACTTGGGATGGGTAAACCCCCAATAGGATAAATTCATATAGCAACTGGTGCAGGATTTTGTCCATCAACAGTATGGGTCTGTGGTTGTCAAAAATGGGGTAACCCCCAAATGGGTCGCCCTGGCAAGTGGAAACATGGACCAAAACCTGTGGTCCCCTGGTGGTTTCATTTTGACCGAGCTGTGGTTGTCAAAACCGTTCTGGGATCTCAGTTTGGTGGGTAGGTGAATTCACCACCCATTTTAGTCGGGATTTTAGTTGGATTGAATCGGATGTTCACTGGGGCTAACCGGGCTTTGGATTTTGACCCATGGCCATACGGGGACTGTGGGTCCAGAATCTTCACATCTTGCAAAAAGAAAAAAGGGGCATTTCTTTGTCCATGCCCATACAAGTTGGGCGACGGCTCAATCACAGCGCGGTCGTATGTCCATGTGCAGCAGCAGAGTTGGAGCCGGATGTACCTTTTCCGTTGGCTATTTGCGGAAGCATTGCTCCCAACTGCCAGCTGTGTGAACTGTCAACCGTCACGCTGGCAGATTGTCAGCCACAAGGTTGGACTGGCAATACATTATCTGACCCTAAGTGAACTCAGCAGAGCTATGCAACGATACGATTTGCCGCTACTCGCCTTTTTCATCCAAAAGTATTGACGAAAAAGTAAGCAACCTGTATATCCGAATGCGAGGTGTCAAACAAACACTCGGCAACCCGGGTTAGCATCAAGTGGGTGCACATCTGCTTGACTGAATACACAATGCTTCTCCCTTGCCCTTGCCTGAGAGGCACCGCAGCGTTGCGACGCTGCCCACAGCTCGCTGCTCCTCAGTTGAACCATGCTTGATTCCGCAAAATGTAATCCAAGACTCCAAGACCTGAAAAATCCGAGAATCCCGCAAGTAAGGGAATGGGTAAGCTTTGCCTCCAGGCAAGCCTGTCGTGGAAGAGAATTTGATGGCTCCTTCAATGCCATGTCAACACACTTCCGGTGTCTCCCTTGAACTCCCTGGAGCAAATTCGTAACTTCGTCGCGCGCCCGTTCGGAGGGGGCCTGGCCGGGGAAAATGACCCGGTGTTTACCCAAGAACTTGTGCCGCCCTCGTTCTGCCGTGATGCTGTGAGCTGATAGATCTGGCCGCCTGCAGAAAAAACGCAACCCAAGCTGCACTCTTGGCAAATGGGTGCCGCATAATGTTGACCCCGTATTAGTCCGTCCCCCCCCCCTTGAAGGTCAGAAGGCTTTGGGGGGGCAAAATTTGGAAGGTTTTTGCCACCCCCCCGGAATTGAGTTTACATTGGATTTAGTATTGCTGGAGCTTCCTTTTGAGATCTGGAATTGAGTTTCCAGTTGATCTAGTATTGCTGGAGCTTCCTTTTGAGATCTGGAATTGAGTTTCCATTTGATTTAGTATTGCTGGAGCTTCCTTTTTGAGATCTGGAATTGAGTTTCCATTTGATTTAGTATTGCTGGAGCTTCCTTTGTGAGATCTGGAATTTAGTTTCCATTTGATTTAGTATTGCTGGAGCTTCCTTTTTGAGATCTGGAATTGAGTTTCCATTTGATTTATTATTGCTGGAGCTTCCTTTTTGAGATCTGGAATTGAGTTTCCATTTGATTTAGTATTGCTGGAGCTTCCTTTTGAGATCTGGAATTGAGTTTCCATTTGATTTAGTATTGTTGGGGCTTCCTTTTTGAGATCTGGAATTGAGTTTCCATTTGATTTAGTATTGCTGGGGCTTCCTTTTGAAATCTGGAATTGAGTTTCCATTGAGAAGGCCTGGTTGTCTTTTTTGGGGGTGGGGCCGATGGACCGCACTAATTAGGGGGGGGTTATTAATTGGGGGTGTAAGGGGCCAATGTGGGGTACTTTGAAACCTTCTAAACTTGATTTTTGTAGTAAAGGATTTAATAAGAAGTCAACCATTTCAGAACACTTTTGGTTTTGTGGTTTGGGCAGGCCCAAAAGCATCCACCAAGCTTCAAGATGAGAGTAGGAGGTGGAGATGAGAGCCCGAAGCAAGGCAGCAGCATGAAGAGAAAGGTATCAAAAGAAAGCATGAGCCCATTTGAGCCAAACCACCTTTTCAGGACAGAAAAACCATGGCAAGCAGCATGAGTCCACAATATTCAACAGCAGCAGCATCAGCTAGCACCAAAAAACAGTTTACGTTGTAATGAGCTCAGGCAGCAGTGGAGAAAATGAGATAGCAGCAGCCATCTGGGGGAGGGACCGGTTTAATTGGGGAGGGTTTTTTAGGCCCCTTTTTTATTTAGTTTGATTTAGTGTTTTTTTTTTTTTTTTTTTTTTTTTTCTGAGATATGAATTGTTTAGTATGGGGGGGGGTCACCCGGACCGGTTTAATAGGGGAGGGTTTATTAATACGGGGTCAACATTATCCACAGCCCTCTCACACATTGCGTTCCGCTTTCAGGCAGTCGGACAGTATCGAATTAGCAAGAAAAGCATTCGAACATCTGCACCTCTTCCACGCCTTCCCCGCGAAAAACCGGGCGCCTGGCACCGGGGACAGCTCGGGGCACTGCGCCAGGCTGTTGTTGTGGCGCGACACCAGCAGGTCCGCGTGCAGCTGGAAGAGGTCCCGGGCTGAGCGCGAACGGCATTTCTCCGCGGGGCTAGACTCTACGAGTACTACAAAGTGCAACCAGTTCTGGCTTTGCATTAAACACCTCTGACACCCCAAAGATCTGACTATTTTCGAGAAGCTGAAAGGTGATCATGAGGACACCAATTCAGGGAGCCAGGGTCATATCGGAACTTGAAGATCTTGGGCCCACGGCAAAGATTTCTCAGTTGCGTTGTACAGTGAAGCTGAAGGTGAGACGCGGCGATCTAAACCGCTTGGAGTCTTGAGGTTCAATATGTTCAATTCTGTACGTAGGCCAACTCTGCCGCTGAGTTTCTGGGCACGCTCATATTGTTCACCTGGTAGGTATTGTTGCCCATGTACTCCACTTTCCTCATGGAGCTCGCACAACTGCAGCAACAATACAGCATGCAAGTGTGTATGATGTACTCTCGCATCTGGACTCTGATCAAAACACGACGGATTGCAGTGTCTATACAGCTGCCTTCCAGCACCGCAGCACCTGCCCTTCATCAGCAGCAACACTCGGCTGTCTTATCCCCGCCGCAGTGGGCCACCTACATACGGATGAGAAACATTCTTCGTGTATGTCACTATATTATCTGTGGAGCAGCTGGAACTGTGCTTCATCGCACAGCGCCGCACAGTCAGAATCCATGCTGATTCATACTGACATCAAATAAATTCTAGATTCCCTCAAACCCCAAACATGAACACTACATGAACTGCAATATGGCGATTGTGCCTGCCGTACCTACCATTTCCTACTATCAATGGACAGCTGGGGAATGCTTTCTGAGGCTCAGCTGACTCTCCAGGCGCCCGTGGTAGCCCCCAGTCAGCTTCATGCGGAAAACGTCGTTGCCCGTCTCTGAGGGGTTTTGGTACTCGTCATAGGCAAGGATGGGCCTGGGCGGGGAATGTAGCCTGTGCGAAGAGAAAAATCACGCGAACTGGCAGAAGTGGTCTGATTGTGGAGTTCGCAGCTGATGAAAACCATGCATGAACACTTATGGGCGGCGGGCAGATCCGGTGACAACTGCCGTCCAAGCCAAGCCTGCAAAGAATGTCGCTACCTTTCGGGCCCCTCTCATTCTTGTGTTTCCTAAGATCCGGCATTTCTTTGTGGATCGCTTTAAATGGACAGGAAGGAAATACACCGACAATCAAAAGGAGCCTTCTTGAACAAGTCGCATAGTGAGTGAAATGAATCACCGATCAATCAGGCCGCGACATGTGTGGCACAGTGCATGTTCTAGTCGCTTCCAGAATTCCCTAGCACCTTTGACCTGGAAACCACTAGGGCCCATCCATGCGCAATGCGCAGCCCAGCTGCCCCCTGGTATCTGCCCACGCGTTCGTTTGTAACCCACGAAACCCCTGAATAGAAGTCCAAAAGGCACGTTGTAGGGCACCTCGGTGATGATTGTGGTGGGCACCGTCACGTTGCTGCGGTACGCCGTGGTCTCCCCAGGCAAGACCTGCAGGAAAATAGCAGCACTCGCATGTCATTCACGGCAAGGTTTACATCCATTGTCGAGCTATGACAAATTTTGACATGCCTGCTCTGATCACCCGACTTTACCAAGGGATGCCGTGCAGTCCTTCAGCCCACCAAAAGTGAAAACCAGCCACTAGAAACAGGACTTCAGCCCAAACTAGGTTAACACAACGCCCTCAGATCCCCCGCTAAAAGTTTAACTTTTAGTGGGTTAAATGGAAACTGCCACTAAACCCTAAAAAGCTAAAAAAGCTAAGGGGATGGCTGGGAGCCACCAAGTGGAGACAGGGAGAATTGCATGCTGGCTTCCGTTTAGGGACAACGGTCAGCTTGGCTTCACGTGTCCACCCACCTGCAGTGGCCAACTCCGCAGGTGCACCGTGATGTCTTCCTTGGCGAGGGATACTCTTGGCGTGTGGCACGCGTTTCAGGGAGGCAAGTCTCACGGGAACCCAAAGCCTGCGCCCCGTTAAGGACGGCCTTGGAGGGGTCTCCTTGTCAATTTGGGTTTCATGCTGCAGTGTTTGGCTTGAGCGTTTGGCCCAAACGTGGATTGAAGTCAGCACGCATCTTTTACAAAGTGAACCTCAGTCTCCCGCCGAAATGCGGAGTTCTAGAACAGCCCCAAATTTGACTGGCGCCCTGGCCCTTTCTACCAGCATTTGTATGTGCGTGGACACGGATACGGTCGAGTTAGTTGGCCAATCTATGATGCCAGCTTCTTGGCGCTATCGCGGTCCACGTCTTAAACTGCTCCTCTTCTTCTGTCCAAGTTGGGCATAACTCAGGATGCAAATCCCAAGTGCAATTCCGTTGAGACCTCTGTCGGCCAAGTTTCCAGCAAGGTCACTTCAGCTCGAAGATGCCACGTCCCGGCCAGGGTGGGGAAACTTGGTATCGCCGCAGGGCATGTGCACATGTGGCCAAGTGAAAGACGCATCCGGCCCAGCAGTTTCACGATCTGGTTAAACCGCTAACCAAGATACTGCCAGTCTAGATTTGGCCTTGGGTTTTTGATTCCTCACACTTCCCATCTGGGTGCAACCAGCCCCGCATCCGAGCTGCAATCGGAACTGCCTGGCCACGTCCTAGCAGGAGGGGCGGCGGCTGTTGGAGAAGCTGCTTGCACAGTGTCCACTTTCACAAGCACATGTGAGAGTGCTTACAGCAGATGTCATGCACGAAAACATGAATGCCCGCAAGAGAAGCCGCTTTGAACTACACAGGAAATGCTCGACCACACAGTGGTTGCCCGCGGCGCCACGAGCTCTTGGCCACAAGCGCCCCAACTTCCCCACAAGCAGTCCAGCTCATCAGCCACGTGCAGCAAGGTGGTCAGCTCCTCCGACATCTCCGGGGGCTGCGCGTAGAGCGCCACACGCCGCAGTCCTGGCTGATTGACCACTTTCCATGTGCCTGGCAAGTCCCATTGGTTGTGCGCCCCAGTGGAGTTTCTGGCCTCGAATCTCGTTGCCCTGGACGTCTCGCGGGACCACAGCGCCTGAGGTCCAAGATGCGCAAATACTTGCACTCTGGACTGGTGCCAAAATCGGCAGAAATGAACAAGGCCAACTGTCACCTTCCATCTCGGAAGACCTGGCACCTGAGCCTTGGTTCCTGCGAGGGGAATGCAAAGTATCCACCGGCACCGTCCTCTTGGCTCCCTTCCCAACAGCCCCACATAGCCAGCTATAGCCCCAAGCCGCCGCGGCGCAGGTGACCTGCACCCCGACGGGCCACGAAAGAGGCGGTATGCAGAGCAAACTCGAGGTCTCTGCCACCGGCTCGTTCACCGAGAGGTGGAGCCTCAGACTGGAGCTCCGGACGGCCGGTGACAAGACGCGCCTCCGAAGAAACTTGTAGACTTTCAAAGAGAGATCCAAGCCAAAGAAGTTTCACTCACAAGGGATATGCCCAGATAGAGATCCTTCTCTTTGGATCTAGATTCTCATTGACGACAAGATGGGAAGCAAGTGAACCGCACGTCCGTTCGTTGGGTTCCTTGTGACTATCTGCGCGCTACGTGAATCAGCTCATGGGAGCTGCAAGTTGTTCCTAGAACAGGTGGCCGCTGCTTCAGCTAGGTTTTCCAGTAGAGAAGTTAGAATAAGTTCAGAATAAGGGTACCCTTTTTTCTGTAGTCTATTTTAGTAGGGGAACCCTCCCCCAAAAAAGGGCAAAAGGGCACTACTGCGGGACCTAGGCCAAGGAGCAAAATGCTTTGGCTGGCCACCGGCTTCAGCGCGCCAAAGTGCTCCGAGGCCTCGGCGCAGAAAGTCTCCGGCCCGGTCGGCCGGAGTCGAACCGGTCCGAAAGTCTAAGACTTTCGACCCGAGAAACGCCGGGCACTCCCTCTAGAATCCTAGGTTGGCCCTTGCCAAAGGAAGTCGGCTCTGCGACCGCAGAGCCCTCAGCCATGTTTGATTGATGCCAACCGGATCCAACTGATGTTGAGATTTCTTCGTCCCGCTCCCGGGAGTAGAGGTCGAAGGTGAGGTTGTGTACCGCCGCGGGGCCTGAGGAAAAAGGGCGACATCTTGGCAGAATGAACGCCCCTCGGCCGCCCGCCCCTCTCACAGGTCACTGTGGAATATGGCGCACGCTCTGGCTCTCTGGCTCTCTGGCCTCGCCTTCCGGGATCAGGGCCACGTCCCAGGCCCCGCTCTGCAGCGGCTCGATTCTCCTGGCTCAGCCCTTTGATGCCAAACTGCACTGCTTTTTGGTGCGGAACAAGCTGCCAAACGAGCCAACGGGGCGCGTAAAAAGGCGTGCAGAGCTCATCACATCATCACACAGGCTCCAAAGTCCAACATGACGTTCTGAACACGGAGAAAATTAGATGGTTATCTTCAAATCGGCAAAGTGAAATCATGGCGCCCCTTTGCCCCCCCTTTCGACTGCCCCGTGAAGCGGCGCTCCAGTGCTGGCTGCTCAGCATGTCATTGGAGCGCATGCCCGCCACGTCCGGCGGGTCGCTGCGGAGACGCAAGTAGGAGGCCGGGTCTCGGCCTCCGCGACGAGCGGACGCTCATTGCACGTAGCCTATACACGCTGTCCAACCACGGAACTCAGGGGGGTCTGAAGATGATCGTCTAGTGCCAGAATCCACCATTACACCTGCTCACCTCTCGGAAGATGTTCATTTCTCGGCAAGTGCACTGAGACTTGTGCCTAAAGCTTGTCAGTTGAAGCCAGTTGAAGCCTCCCAAACATGGTTTGGCTGCTGCGTCAGTGACTGAAGCCCATTAGGTTTGGACAAGCGCATTGAGCATTCTTCTTCCGAGTGGCGCGTCTGCAGGTTGCCGTACATGTCCGCGGACTGCACTCGCATGAAGACGTCCTGCAAGACTAGACCACATAAGGTGGAGCTTGACAACGCCGTTGAAGCCCTGGTAGTCGGGACTGCACGTTGAGCTATAAGGCTCAGTCGCTCAGAATGTGTCATATGACGCATAAGGACTGTGGCAGTTTCCCATGATTGTTGCTGACTACGGCAGATTATAGCTTTGGGGAGCTGTTGTTGGAGCAAACTGATGCACAAATTGCACAGAAGACCTTAACAAACAGAATGGCAACATGAAGCGCTTGGCAACTCATAGTACAATCGCCTAACCCCATCACCGGCGTGGGTCCTTGCCCACGGTGCCTTGCACGGATGTGGCGCTCACCGCCTCAAGGCTGTGGACCTGAGACGAAACGACCAGCGGACAGGAGCCCAACGATGCGAACGGCTCAGAGTTCACTTCGAAACAAACAAAATGAGATATCTCAAACACGTAAGAAAGAGGAAAGTGGCGGAGTCAGAGTGGACATGTGCTGACACAACACCTAGGCATTGGCTGAACCCGAACTTGCAGTTCTGAGGCACCCAGTGCCCTGAATTGACAGAAAATCTGAGCTGCCAGCGGGAATGGCGGGATGCACGGTGTGCAGAAAGGGGTTGTATGGCTGGCGAAGCCTGGGCGGTGGGTTTGCAGGCTTGATCATGTCTCCCCCATCACGGTGTAAAGAATCAATGCGTCCAACGTTGATAGTTTATGGTGTTGCTGTCTCCCGTTGAAAGGCAAATTAGTTGTGTGACGTCCATCCCATCTGGAATCCTCACAGCAGATTGCGCAAGGTAAGGCTGAAAGGTCTATCTAGGAGGACCGAGGACAAGTCTACTTCCCCCAACTTCCTCTGTAACCCGAGCTGAGGCGCACTTCCTCGTAGTACATGTCTTCGGCCTGAGGCAGTCGTGTTGGCGACTCACTGGAAGATGGACATCGAAGGCTCTCGATGGACAATCACTCTTTCCCAGGTGGTAAGGCCCGGCCTAGACCATAAATACATCGGCAAAGCCAAGCACCCATTGTGGCTAGGTTCTGCCATGGCCAAAAAATGCGGAGCTTCATCGTGAGATTCTGATGGTCAGAATCCTTCTTCAAATCCCCCCCAACTGGGCAAACTGGAAGCATGAAGGCCAGCCAGATTCTGCCATGCCATGCTACAACTTGGCGCTGATGCAAGTTGATGGGAGAGAAAGTCTTCAAGCCTTCTGGCCATGGGTCAAAATCCCGTACCCCCAGCGAACATCCGATTCAATCCAACTAAAATCCCGACTGAAATGGGTGGTGCACCTACCCCAACATGGTATCCCAAAACGGTTTTGACCCACAGCCATCTCTGAAAAATTCCAGGTAGAAAAAGTGCACGGGCACAACCGGGGAACTCGGAAGGCAAGCGTCCGCTCAGACGTGCCCCGCCTGCAGCACGTGGAAAGGCACCGCGCTGCTCAGGCTGCCGAAGCCCAGCCGAAGGAAGGCGCGCAAGTTCCGGGTGGTCTCTCCCATCCAGTGGTCGTACCTCGGCAAATTTTGAGCTGCACCAGTGGGCCATGGGTCATAACCTTATGACCCATGCCTCCATTTTTGGGTGGATGAACACGCATTTGCCACCTGTTTTTTGCCTATTTTGATGTTCACCAGGGGTACGGGGTTTTGACCCACAGCCAGTGCTCTTCGGCAGATTTGAGGAGAAAAATACTGTTTGGTCTGGCTCTGGGGTGAGGTGTTACAAAGGTCCGCACTGATTCTGCTGATTCTGATCCCACTTCCTGCTGTGCAAGCAGCAGGATCTCAATGGGAATGTATCCTTGGCTCAGCAGAGGTGCAGCAGAAGCTGGCAACATAGAACTTGCCTTATGACAGTTCCCAGGCTCGGCAAATAAAACATGTGTGAGCGATCAAAAGACCGCAAAGCTCGCAGCTGGGGCAAAAGAAAAAGCATCGCTGGTCAAGTTCAGAAAGTGCTGACTCCCAACGACGCAATTGTGAACCGAAAGCGATCTGATTGCTGCTTCGGGTCCCTGTTGAAGATCCACCTCCATCGTCACCGTGCTGTGGCCTCTCTCGATTCCTCGGCAGCTCCGTAAACCCTGCAATCCGCCACGGGCCACGTTAGAGTTTAGTGGAGTGCACAACCAGTTGCAAAGTGTTCGAAGGGCCTGACAAACATGCATCTTACTGTGTTGTTCACACCACGCATGATTGTCATTGCATTTCTACCAACGGCGTGTCCAGCTGATCTGTAAGATCTATGTTCTGGGTTTCAAAAGAGAAAAACAGAGCCTCCGGTCCATGAAACCGCTCTTAGGGCAACACTGGCGCAACTTCCCAATGGCTGGCTTTGCCCAAGTGGCCGTTGGAGCCAGTTGGAGAGATCTCCGTGCCGTTCAGAAAGACACGGCCGCCGGTGTCGGAATAGAGCTGGAACAAATACCTAGGCGTCTTCTCTCCTAGTCCAAGTGTGCGCCCGCGCAACCACCATTGCTGGATGCTTTTTCGGCTCTACCCAAAGCTAAAGGATTGGGTTTTGCTATACTACCATGCAAGCATGAAAACGCATGTTGGAACGCACTTCTTTGGCAGGTTATCACGTCTGATTCTGCGATGTCTTGCGCAATATCAGCCCAAGCAACCTGTCTTGGACAGGGATGCGAAGCCATCCAATGATCTGAAGGGAATACCTGGCAGGCAGGTGTCTTGGAAGCTTCCAGTCTGCCTGCTGACCTGCTCTGTCATGCTACACATACTTCTCTTCTGTCAGTCTAATTCATCTGAGGCGCTTGTTGCTTGGCAGCGTTCCACCTGGACCAAAGATGCCCCAGTCAAAGTCCAGCGGTCCTGCAAACCCGACATCTGCGAACGCTTCAGATCAGTCGTTTGAACATGACGCAAAGCAAGGGAATGGCTGGATTCGGGCTTGGAATCTTCAAAATGCTTTCAGGTTGGGCTTGGACCAGCGTTCAACTGCCACTCACTGTGCCGGGAAATCCACTTCACCAGCTGGCCTGCATTGCAAACACATACTGTCCAAAGGACAAGCATGGCGGTGGAACAAATCAGCCTGCCGCATGCCACCATTTTGTTTGTCTGGGGAAGCTTCAATGGGGACAGCACCCTGCGCCAGCAGCCTCCTGATGTCAGTGTGAACGGTGCAATGAACAGTGCATGCATTCAGGTAAGCATGTACCTTCTTCAGATCAGCGAGTTGCTCGCTCAGCACATCGGTTTCTTGTATCGACAATGCAGGACTGCAAATACGCCTGCACAGCGATCGAATTTGCTTGGCTCTTTCATCGCCGGCTGCATCCAATCGTCGGTACCTGCTCTGATTCCCTCTTCCTGTAAAGCTCAGTGCTCTGAGGATTGCGTGAGATTTCCTATCTGCCTGCAATGCTGCTTCCGCCTGAGCCCTTTTCACAAGCAGGCCGTTCTCAAGCAATTTGATTAACATTACCTGCACCTGATCACGTGCATACAAGCCTAAGCAGTGATGTCCATTGCTGGTCTGATACAGAGGAGGTTCGTAACCAATCTCTGTTTTCAGAAAGTCTTGTATCCATACAAGAACATTTGAGTGTTTCTGTCCAATCAGCAGCCGGATATCTGCTTGCGAAGGAGGTATATTGATATTTCCTTCTGCATCGAAAAAACCAGTCACATAGGCCCAAGAACACGTGACATCTTGCTTGGCGTCAAGTCCTTTAAGCTTGGATAGAATATGTGTTGTTTGCTGTGCATGTATGGGTGAAGACAAACTGGACATCACTTTGAGCTGTGCGTGCTTGACGAAGCTGTGATCAAGAAGCTGAGCAGCCGCCAGCTTGCCCCAATCGCCACAAGCCTTCCACACCAGGCTTGGTTGCTGCAAGCCTCGCCCTTCACCGTGCCTATAAATGCCACCCCCAAATGTCTTCTGAAAAATCCACAAAATAGCTGCATTGTTGGCAGATTGTACCACTTGTACATACCGTTGTCGCACGCATCCATCCCCGTCAAAGAACCCTGCCAAATATTGCAGGCGCTGAAGCGGCACAGAATTGCCCGCAGGGGGGCTGGCGGTGACCGGCAGAGGGTACGATCGCCCAAAGGCTTCAAATGAGGTCGTCGTAGGCCAAAGCAGCCTGGATTGGAAGGCTGTCAGTCTGGCAATCCTCCGTTCAATCTGCCCCAAGGACTTGCCTTGCAGCAAGGCGGAACATGTGGCAGCGCTGCGAAGCTGTGCTCCAATGCAGCGAGGCCATGGGAGTAGCGCGCGCCACATCTACACAACCAACGGCATGGCGCTAGCACAGCTGGCTTCTTGGAGCACATCCCAAAACAGCATGCCTGACATGTGCAAGCAGTAAAGTTACGCATGGCTTCTATTTAACGGGTACATCGCAGCCTCTGAGCATTGTGTGCTCACCGGACTCAGCGAGTCTTTGACGGGAAGGCAACATCAACCACCGGTAAGGGACATGTGCGGTAAGGGACATTGCAAGGCCAGGTCCTCGGAGCATTTCCGTGTAGACCCGCTTGGAGTGGTTGGGGTTGTTGTACCACAACCCATGGAAGGCGCCGGGTCTCAGCACGCTCACCACCTCAAAGCAATCAGCACTTGAAGCCACCTGCCGCCTGTCCACCGTAAAATGCGTGGTGTCTGTGTGTGGGTGTGTCTCATGTCAAATGTCCAAATCTTGGCTCACTCAGGACCTGGCTCCATGATACACGCCAGAGACATTGGACATCAAGGAGTATTCGTAGACCTGGAAGCACAACAATCGTCTGCAAAATGGGCTGAAGACATGCTCGCCTCCTTGCTCTTGTGTCCTTCCTCTCGTTCTGCCTAAACCCTGCAAGAAGCCTACTATATAATTCAGAAACCCAGCTCCAAGGAGGCATCACTTTTCTATCAGGATGCCGTGTATTTAGGCTGAACATGACAAATGTCGCATCCTCCAACAGGCCCTGCGTCAAGCTTTCGGATTCCAGCCTCGGCCTTGACAGAAGCGAGGCGCACGGAGGCGTCAGGTATCACGAGCCTCACTCCGGCAAAACCAAATCCCACTTCAGGTGGGTGAACTGTTGGGTGTCTTGGCTGAGATCCTCCACATTCTTTAAACCTTTCGGATCACATAGCATCATTCGCGACCCTTAGAGATCCACATGGCCATTTCAGAATGTGCCACGCAGGGAAAAGCCAGGTCGGCTTTGAGCATTGGAGTTTGCCCCTACCAACATGGTCATCTCAAGAATAGGTCAGCCCTCTCGCACCATGACCCAATTGGGTCAAACAGCGGAATCAACCAGAATGAAGAGACCGAAGCAGCTGTTGACGGTTTACCTGCCAAACCCATCAAACCCAAGCATTTATAATTTGGAAGGCTGAACAAGAATAACTGCATTCAGCATGAGATCAAACCAAGCACCTTGGTACTGCAAGCCCCTCGAGCCCCGCACCTGATGGGCTGCGCAGGCAGCCGCTCGCACAGGGGCAGGCACTGCAGGCTTTCGGGCTTGAAGCCTTGCCAGAAGGCAGGCACGTGGTGCTAACAGCACAAAGCAAACACAGAAACGAGACTCCTCAAAAGAACACCTTCATAGTCTCGGCAGGGACAAATCAAACAAGGAGCAGGAGTAGGCAGTGTTTCCCTTTGCTCCTTCGCGTCCCAAGGTCTTGGGGGAGAATCCCCAAACAAAGATAGAAAGCGTTCACAAGAGGTGAAGAGTTGGTGGTCAATGATTTTCAACTTGAAAGTGCCAGGGCCAGTATATGCGCCAACAGTTGGTGGAAGGCTGAAAGTGACGCTATGGTCATGACGCGAAATGTGCATGCCTGGGCAAATGATCGAGGGCCCGCCTAGCACTTCGCGCCATAAATAGATCATGAAGGTGTTGTTCCTGGGCACGGCTGGCTCTCTCTCTCTCTCTCTCTGCCAAGCCGTGAAGCTCGTTGAGGAGCCGAACTTGAGCCGCAGTTGAAACGCACCGGAAAGAGGTTGCCAAAACAGTGGGGTTGCCAAATAGTGGATGATTGCTCAGTCCATCCAGCCAAGCACGCCTGCAACACGCGATTTGCCTTTGCGAGTCACAGACTGTTGACGGCTCGTGTGTTGCCAAGCCGGCATCGTGAGATGGCACCTTTTGCACACAAACATCAGCGAGGATGGATTGTTGTGCCTGGCGGTGTGCCCTTGTGCATCAGCCAGGTGACTCATGCGTCAGCGGATCGCCCCACATGTCTCTTGAAGTCACCTCGCACGGGAAGCTAAGCCCCACTGGCCAAAATCGTCGTCTCATTCCACTAGAAAATGAGAAGTGAGAACCATGCACCTCGAGCAAGAACCCAAAGGAACCTCCATCTTGGCTGGGGGCATGCTTCAAGTGAGACCAATCAGCTCCGGCCTGGATCGTGGCCGGCTCCCCAGCGTGGCAGGGAGAGCTCAACAGCTCGAAGGTGGAGTTGGTCGCGGCGCCTGGCATCGAAGCACGTGACGTTTCGGCAACGGCAAGCCTATGCCGAGGAATCGTCCGTCAAATTACTCTATTTCTCTCTCTCCAACTGTGCGACTAGAACATGTGCCATGCCCACTGAGCAATGGCCCACTTCATGACTCCTCTTGGTACTTGAAAAAACCGCACGGAAACACGTCTTCTCCATCTTTTTCCCTTTTCGCCCGCACCCATCTCCCTGCCCACTGCCGACTGCGGGGAACGCATGCGGTGCGGACCGCTCGGAGCCGGGGAGCCCGGCCGATGGCTGGCAGCACCCAGTTGCTCGCGGGCACCCAGCCGGAGGGGATCACCGTGAAGTGCATGGGCGAGCTCTGCAGCGGCTGGCCGCTGCCTGCGGCAAATTCGGGTGGGAGGGGGGAGGATGGTGGAGACTTAGGGTCTATTTTGCAACCTCCTTCTTTTAGGGTATTTTCTTATGAGGGTATGGTATATATAGACTCTAGGTGTCCATGGCACACGGGGGGGGTTGGTCCTCACATATCAAACATGATCTAGGTGCCGCGTGCGCAATGGAAGACAACAAGAAGACCCGCAGCTGTCGGCTGCGGTTCACATAAAGCATCAATATATCTAGGTCTAGAGGTTAGAATAAGATACCAACTTGTTTCTGCACCCTATTTTAGTAGGGGAACCCTCCCCAACCAAAAAAGGGGGCGAGAAAGGGCACCTAGCTGGGGGACCTAGACATCGTTCGGGGCTGGGCATGCCTAGCACCGTGAGGCGATGTTCCCCGCGGCGGCCGGGCGTGAAGTAGACCACCACCTGCGCTGAACACCCCCACAGCGTGAATGCCCCTAACTCTACACGCACACATGTGCATACAACAATCACAATACACACACAAAAGAAAACATCCGGCTAGGACCAAGTTTGATGAGTTTTCCTACATCTCATATTCTGAATATACCGTATGTTGTATACCTGCATTTCTTGGTACTCTATACTTGCCGTCCCGCCCAGGCCTCCCCAGGTCCGGAGCGGATGGCTTCGAAGGGCACCGCCTCAGCCAAAACTCCGCTCGGTTCGACTTGGTGCTATACGTGGCTGTGGTTGGCAAAACCGTCTTGGGATCCCATTTTGGTTGGTAGGTGCATTCACCACCCAAATCATAGAACCTATTTTAGTGGTTGGATTGGGATGTTCACTGGGGATACGATTTGGATTTTGACCCATGGCCACATTGGAGCTCTTCATCACAGCAGGCTTGGTGCTGCGTTTTGCCTCGCCCTCTCTTCTGAATACCTTCAAGTCGCACAGGTGATTCTGCAGGCTTCTCTGTCTGATGCTTTCTCTGGAGAGCGCAAGGCTCCCACCTCCGGCGGATCATCGGCTATGCGCTCCAACGAGAAGTCCAGGCCTCATTCCAGGAGTCGTGCTGATGAAAAGCAGCGTCCATCACCAGTCGTGCAAACAGCGAGCCAACTGAGTTACACAACTTGCAGTTTGACCAGCGGAATCAGTTGACACAGGGCTGCCCGCAACCTCTCTCACACATCTTGTTAAATGGAGAGGACTGAGGCCGGCACTTTGCATGGCGTCGTCGTCAGCATTGTTGCCTGGGCTAACAGTGCGACATTCCAAACATCCTTCTCCTTTGCAAATTTGTCTCTCCCCTTTTCTGTTCCTGAGGAGCCTTGCTTGCCAAGCACTTTCGTGTTTTTCAAGCAGAATGCCCACGAATGGTGGGAATGGTGACTGCTTCTTGATCGCCCAGAGGTTGGGCGCGTCACAGGCTAGCCTGTCACATCGCGCCAAGTCGCCGCACGCGTCTCGCAAATCCACCCGCATGGAGGTCGGCACTCCGCTACGCGTCTGGTGCTCCGGAGGGTGCACCTTGGAGCAACCAAATTAGTTGAACCAAAGAACAATCAGCATGCCAACCTTGAACAATCAGCATGCCCTAACTCGCTTGCTTTCTGCTCCCCTGCTAAAAAGCTTAACTTTGGTTTAATGGTAAACCCATTCGTTGGCAAAAAGTTAAAGTCCTAACTGCCAAGCAACATGCGCCAAAGCCAAGCAAAAGGCCGCGCTGAACAGTCCGCATGCCAACTTCTCCTTGCGCCAAAGCGGCGCGGGAGGTTTCGGCCAGCAGCTCGCCCCGCAGCACCTCCACCAGGTAGGGGCTGTCGGAGATGGGCAGCCACATCGGGGGGGACCCAATGCCCTGGCCGGTCGGGATGGGAAGAGGATGGGAGAATAGAAGGAGAAACAGAGTTGGACTTGCGAGAGGCAAGAGAGGCAAACATGGCCATGCAAACATCGTGTTGCCTGCGCGACATCATGCACCCGCATCACTCTCGACAACTTGAGGCATGTCCTACTTGTTTGGCTTGCAAGACGTTGGGAATCAGCGCGCCATTGCCGGATTGCAAGATTCAAAAAGACATCCGTGCAGCTTGAGGGTCTAAGTTCACACATCGTAGCAACTCAAGTGTGCAAGAAACACTGCCTGCAACCACTGGTGCCCCATCCACTTGGACAGCACCTTAACGCAAAGCAACAAACTGGGCTGGACGAATCGTTTGTCGCGGATCAAGAGTGTCCAGCCTTGCCACATCACAATTGCCAAGGTGTTAGCCGCTGGTCGCTGACTCGCCCAGAGGATCCGCTTAGCACAGAACCTCTTGTGGCCGTGTGAACGCGAAGGGGCGATAGAACCACTGCGCGGGGCTACAGCCTGTGGCGTGTGGATCTCGATGCTCATGGACGTGAGGCCGGCCCGGCAGAGTTGGTACTCCACGGTGTAGCCTGGCGCACCCGTTGGCCCACTGCAGTTAACCACAAACAAACAAGTAAAAGTAAATGTGGGGGGGTGCTTTTTGCTTTGCTTGCAAGCAAGTTGTGCACAGCCCTGACGACAATATGATGCTGTCACGTGTGCGCTTGAGAGCCATCCACAGCCATGCTGCTAGATTGCCCACCCATGAAGTCTGGAGCCAAGGTGCTGCCGTCATCGTTGTCCGTGAGCGTCAGGTAGTCCATGGGTGCAGTGTGGCCGCTGTCGAAGGTGACGTTTGCCGCTGGTCCCTGGTGCCTCAGCAGCAGCAGCTCTTGGTCCATGGCTTGCCATGGACCTGACACATCCGTCACTGGTCTGAGCCTGACTCTCTTGCCTTGGTCTGATAAAACGTCCTGGCAGCTCTCGGACCCTTGCAATCCACTCATCCACACGTTTCCCATTTGTTGAATCAACATCTGGCCTGGGGACTTGGCATCCGGCCGCTTTTCTCCCACCCGCCCTTCCAACGGCCGTGCTGAGGCGCATCACGGGCACCGCCAGCCGAAACTCTCCCCCGCCCTTGAAGTACTGCACGTCGTAGGAGTCCTTCGCACTGATCTCCTTAAGCACATAGCACAAGAAACACCACCCATCGGAAGCGGAGAGAGCGGCAAACCGATCAAATCTTCTGGGCTCCAAGCTTACAGCTACAAGTACTGCCAAAACTACCCTCGGCCCTGCAAGATGCACCACCAGTGTCCAAGGCTCGAAGGTGGTGTTGATGCCTGCAAGGCATGCGTTGCAGCATGAAGCCCCAATGGACGGTTCATCACCCCTAGTCACTAGTCCCTTCGAAAGCCCCAAAGCAGCTGTGATGTTTTGGCCCGAGAAGCAACCGAGCTGATACCAAATGAAGAAATATTCAGTAGCGGCACCCACACAACATCGTGATGTTATCTTTTGAGATTGTCAAGTCTTCAAGATTGAGCAAAACACTTTCTTCGCACCGTCGCAACGGACAACTTGTTGGACGTGGCGAATCACTTAAGAACGCACTTGGAAACAAGTGCGCGCGCACACACACACACACACACCAACATGACAAATGAATGATCAAATGATAGCAGCCGGACATTTGACAACTGCAACATTGTCCAACTTCACGCAATGCATGCACCACTGGGAGCTTTTGCGCTGCATCACCCGCATCGCCTGCGATGATCCGCGCAGGGCTGCCAGGAACACGGTTGCTCGGGCTGATACCTGCCGGATACAGGCAGGAGATGAAACCACAAGTGGCCAGTCGCCGTTGGGCGGCCGGCTTGTTTGGTTTTTTCAACACAGCCAGTTGTTCGGCCAGTAGTATGCTGCTTGGAGTTCCCTTCAAGGCCTTCCTTGCTGGCCCTATCAGCCAAGCTCTCTGTCATACACCAGCCGCTGGGAATCATGTTCCCTTTTGCCAAACACAACGTTCCCTGACAGTGCAATTTGTAGCGCACCAGGCACTTCAAAAAAGCATCAGCCAACAGCTCTGAACCTCCTGCAAAGGTTCTCTTGACCTGCGCCATGCCTGGGCCCGAGGCGGAGGTCAAGCGAGCCGAGAGGTCGTCCCAAATGAGGACCCCCAGGAACGGCGACGGCCCGATCCTCAGGTGTCCACGCGGCGCGCGCCGTACGGATCCATCCCGATCCCTCGGGATCGAAGAATTAGCCAAGTGGCTCCTCGCTGTTCAGGTAGACATGCATGTTGTAGTAGCCCGGCCTCTCACTCTTTCTGTCTTTCTCTTTCTCTGTCCCTCTTTGCAATTTGCGCCAGAGACCTAGACAAAATCAATGTGTTCAGGACTGTATGAAAGGGTTCCCTACTGAATGAGTTCAGGACTGTGCTGAGGATCAAAACAATGTGCCAGGCGCCGCAGGGCAGTCAAGCTTGACGCACGCAAGCCCAGCTGAGGTATTGCTGGTGGCTGACTTGGAAAGTCTCAGTGGCCTTTGGATCTCGAAGTTGACAGTGTAGGTTCCGTTCGCGTTGTCAGTGACGCTGCCTGGCATTGATTATCACTGTCCCCCCGTCCTTGATCGCCATGGTCCACAACCCGTCTTGACAAGTCAGGGAACTGCACTCAGCGTCTCTTGCTCTGCAATGTGTGGACGAAGCAACCAAATGGCGTTGGGAGACTGAAAAGTATGTAATTAGTCAGAAACAGGTTAGTCCATCCCAGAACAATTGGGTGATGACCATATCTATGGCCCCAAGGGTCCCGGTTAAGACTGATGGAAAAGACAGCTCAATGTAGGGGTTTGTCCAAAATGACAGCCCTTTACACAAACTCAAAGTACCACCAGGCCCTTCACCAGGCCCTTCACAGGCCGGCTGCGCCGTCGAAGCGATCCTCCCCGCTGAGCGGGTCGTGCGCCGGGCCCTGGCAGGCCAACCCAGGGGCAAGGTGATCTACTCCTATGGCTCAGAGCTGCCTGGTGTGCCATTCGAAACACCAGCTCCATGCTCACGGGTTTGAAGCCTGTGCCAAAATCAAAAAAAAACTGTTGCCAGGTGGGATCTCCGAAGCCCAACACCAGCCCAAGTTCAGAGTAATCCACTCGAAGCCGCCCCTTAGGGCGTCGCCCCGCGCCTGGAAGAGCACCTGGTAGCTGTCGCCTCCGGTGACCCGCACGCGCCCCGCCAGGGTGGCCGAGCGGATCTGGAACCACACCGGCTCCCCGGCCCTCGCCGGCGTGTAGAGGCCTGGCGAAAAAACGAAGACACGCGGGCGGTCCGGTGGACGTCAAGTCTGTACTTTTTGCAGGTCCTTATCAAACACGAAGAAGCGCGTCAGATTGAGTACTGCCAGTTTGACTCACGCGTCATGTGACAACTTAGTCTGAACCTGTTGGGTAGAGCAAAATGTCGAGCAGGGAGGCCTGTCATGACGAAGGACTGCTCGGGGTCCGACACAGCCAGCAGGATCGTCACCTAGAAGGCGGCATGACAAAGCACATGCTGGTGCTGGAAGGTCAGACGTGATGGTCATGCAACAATTCATATTCTGCGACTAAGGCGTGTGAATGTATTAAGTACAATCAAGCCTCTAGGTGTGTGTGTTTTTTTTTCCCGCTGGATCAGGCACAGGCACTGGCATAGGCGAGTTCAGAACCTGGTTGCCGTCCAAGAGCACGATAAGTCTCCTGTCGGGATGCTGCAGGGGCACTGAAATCAAACTACATGCCCTTTGGATTGTTTTGGCAGTGCTCCACAAATCACCCGCAATGACAAGCACTATGGCACTACCGGTGCAAAGACATGTGTGCGTCCTATGTCACTGACTGGCCAACCTTGCAATTCGGAACACTTTGATGCACCATGTCCTCTTTTTCAAAAGCGAGACCCTGAAAAAAAAGGAAGATGTTCAGCACAAAGCGCCTCAAGCTGCCGTTCAAAGCGCATCAAGCTCCCTTCCGCGCCTGTAGTAGCGGCCGCTGGTGACGTCGTCCTGGTAGATGGGATCTGGAGGCAGTGGTTTCCACCAGGAGACGTAGAAGCCCCTGGCCGCGGAACCAGAGATCACCCCAGTGAATTTGTGGACCTGGTGTCGCCTTGCGCCTCCTTCAAAAAGATACAACAACAAAAAACTAATCCTAATTTGACCACCCCCCCCCCCCAATATGACCTTTGCAGAAGTTCCTCTGTACTCGACACGTGCATCCACTGTGCAGAATGCCGTTGGATCGATTGAAAAGAAACTGGCGCCCGCCTGGTTGGATCCCAGACCACAGGGAGGTCCCTCTCCTTGACTCCCTTCAGAGTGTAGAGCCGCGCGCTAAGGCTGCCAATCATGTTGCCTTCGGGGGAAAACACGGAGAAGCTTGGCTCTATGCATATATACGTATATACATGAATGCACTATTATATATATATATATGTATATATTGTTTAAGATGATCATAGATAGATAGATGCATGCATCTATGTATGTATATATTATGCAAAGTGTGGTATCCAAATACAAGTTGGACTTAGATGAGTCTGCAGCCGGACCTCCAATGCTCCTAGGCCGAATTTGCAAAGGCCTGATGATCTGCAAACTAGCACAGACTGGTACGGGGTTCCCAGTATCCTGCCTCCCACCACTGGCTGTCCCATGATGTCCTTCAAGTCAATTTTCACCTGCGCGCAGCATCACACATCACTTCATTCGTGTTCAAGTGACTACCTCTGCATGTGGCAAGTCAAAACACGGTGAGGGATTCATGTATGACACACTGCTTCAAAAAGGCAAGTGAATACAAACGCGCGCCCTATTCATCAGGCTGCCAGCGCCCATGTTCCAAAGTGTTGCAGGCACACCGAAACCAAGGGGCACGACATGTATCTCTGGCCCATCGATGTGCAATACCATCCTGCCTGTGCCATGTGAATACCGTCATGCAACAGTTTCTTGGGTGGTCTTGGCGGCGCAGGCTCTCGGCACAAACAGGGCTACTGAAAAGAATGGCTCGATCTGTGGCCAGTTTGTTACTTTTTCTCGAGGAGTCACTTGGCATACCTTCTCCTCTCCGACCCTTCTCCTCTCTCCCCCAGTCCTCCCCAAGGGTGTCGACGATGACGGTCATCTGCGGCGTGTCGTCGGGCAGGGCCAGCACTGTGGAATACTCCGCCCGGGCACTGCCGCTGATGGCCTGGAAGTCTTCGAAGGGACTGCCTGCGCGCATCTCGTCTGATTGACGGCCCAAAAGGGATCCCCAGATCTGGGCTGCCCGTTTTCAGATAAAAGTGGCTGACTTTTAGTGGATTAAATCAACACTAAACAGCTAAAAGGCTAAGCGGATGGCTGGGAGCCACCAAGAGATCTGACAGGCGCCACAGCATCGCCGCCGGGGGTGGCTTTGTTGGGAAACTCTTCCTTTTTCCGGAAGGAAATGGAATGCACCTGCAGAAAGGCCTGGAGAAGCGTCGCGTGCCCTCATTCTGACCAGCGCCGGTCTGTCAGGATGGTTTTCGTAAGGAACCATGTCAAACACAACAAAGCGTGACAAAACAAAGACCAGCAGGAGTTCATGGTGTCGCTCACAGATGTCACATCTCGTTAGCTGGTCCCATCGAGCCCTCGTAAGTCAAACATGATGGACCATTGTACGCTGCGATTGCTAGATAGGCGGTTCCCTTGCTCGAATCCAGCCTTGGATGTTCAGACCGCTGCTGAGCAGGCAGCCCTGTTGGATAGGCCACCAACCCCAGTAGTCCTCAGACACAAAACGCAAAAAGAAAACAGCCTGGAACGCCGCGCAAATGAGGCACGAGGCATTTTCCAAGGCTTCGATGCAAAGAAAGGTCTTCTTGTCCCGAGTTCTTTGGGCCACCACCCTTAGTTCCTTCAGTCACCATCAGGGCTCTGAGCTGGCTTGACCACCTTCCAACGTTCCAAAGGAGTCTTCAAGTCGAACGGAGCACCTAGAATGCACACTGCAAAAGGCTATGGCAACACAGGAAGAAAAGTCCAAGCTGACTGCTCCTGCAACAGCCCACCAGGACTCATTTTCTACGTATGCCCGCAAAAAGAAAGGCGACCTGGGTTGGCGCATTGCTGGCTGCACCTGATCAAGAAGTACTCTCCCTCCTTCCCCCCCTTCAAGGTTGGCAAGGTCGCCGCGAAAAATGGGGCCACTCCGCAACTGGGAAAAAAGCTGATAGCTGGACTGTGCATGATGTGGTGCGCAATTCGGGTCGACCACTTTTAATGAAGAGGTGGAGAAAATGAGTTTTGCCCACTACCTGTGAAACAAAGAACTTCTTGAGCCTGAGACAAACTCCCCCAAGCTGCCTCAAGAGGAACCCACTTCACTCGTTGCACTGCACAACCGTCTTCAATGCGCCTCCCTGCTTGTTTTCAAAAATGTAGATACGGGTTGCCGCGGCCTGAGGAAACTCTAGGGAGTGAGCCAGTGCGCTTCGGCGCCAGCGAATTTAGCGGTCTGTCAAGGTCAAGGCAGGCAGTTAACTCCAAGGTCATGGTCACTGCATAGAATCACCAGGCATGGCATTCATGATTAGGTGCGTGTACCAGCTTGGATGCAAAGATGAGCGTCTGTGTCATTCTGGTGGTAGAGCATGATTTCGACGGAAGCGTGCTGATTCTGCTCGTTGTCTTCGGCTTGGGGCGTGCTCCACTCGATCTCAAAGGCATAGAACCTGCAGTCACGCGCCGACCGTGCCCAAACGCTTCGCGGGACGGGGCGGTGTGGGTCGTTGAAACACGCAAACTACAAGTCTCTCCTATCATCATGAGAGAGGTTGCAATTAGCATCAACAACCCCCACAACCATTCCAAACGAGTGAATTCAAGACCGCTCCTTTCTCGTGCGTCGAATAATTGTCTCAAAGTGCCACCAGGGAACCCAAAAGGGTCCACCACCGGGTCATGGAAGAGCAGGTCGATGCAAATGAAGTAAGGCACCTCAGCACATCCCAAGTTACAGCAGCGATTTGGCAGGACAGTCAGAGAACTCAGAGCCCCCCCCAAAACAGAGGGATGGTCAACCTGCCAGTGCCAGGATGTCAAGCAACATCACTGCCAGCGCAGTGACGTGCCTCATGCTTTGCCAACAAGAGGGGCAGTGTAAAGGAGGCTGACTCAGGGCCATTTCAATCGGTGCGAGTCCTCTTCGACTATGTGGCCATGGGTCAAAAAGCCCGTACCCCCAGTGAAAATCCCAATCCCGACTAAAATGGGTTCTAAAATGGGTGGTGAATTCACCTCCCCCAAAATGGGATCCCAAAACGGTTTTGACAACCACAGCCATGTCCAAACATCGCAACTGGGGCGTCCGCATCTTGCATGCAGTCCTCGCGGATCATCTCCTCTCGCTTCTGTGGAACTACCTCAGCACTTGGTTGCTGTTGACCCCCTTGCAAAAAGCTTAACTTTTTGGGGCTTTTGTGGAAAACACTTTTATTCCCGAAAAGTTAAAGTCTAAAGATCCAACCCAATAGCAGTCAAGAGCAGGAGGCACAAGCAAAGGGGTTCATCGCCAGCCACACTTCTGAGGCAACATCTGAGCTAGATGGTTCAGGGCCACCCTGCTTTTGCCGGCTCGACATACCCCACTCAGCCAGGGGTTCCCAGCTGTTTTGGCGGTTGCCTGAATCTTTGAACCAAATCCACCACACACATGATAAGAAAGGATCCGCCAGTTCCTCGAAATATGGCCTTCCGCTTGCCATGTGCAGCTAAGCCACATCTTCAGGCACCTGCTTGGTCACCGAGCCATCGTTCCAGAAGAAAGCACGCACCTGCGCCCAAACCTGTTTCGGCCTCTGAGGGGCACCTCTAAGGGGCAAAAGGTGGGGGGGGCCCCGCTCAAGATCTGCGCAGATGGCAGGGTTCCGTTCAACTCTGGCGAGTCCCTGCCTTCAAAGAACTAGTGCTGATCCTAAGCAAGCTGGCAAACAGAGCGGAAGATTACATTGAAAGAACTGTTGTTGAAGGGCTCTTCGTGCAGATCTTGCAGATTTTCCTGAAGCAGCCTCTTTTCGCCTCTTACCGTCCCCATTTGGGAACGCAGCGATCCCAAATAGAAGTAATACAACAGCCCCTGATTGCAGGTCCATTGAGGAACAAAGCATCCGATTGGTCCTAGTTCTATAGGTAGCTTTGCTAGTCTGTTGGTCCGCAGGGTGCGGCTTGAGCATGTTGAGATTCCGGGTATCACTACCACATTCTAGGATAAGGGGCAACATGATATACAAAAAGCACTTGATCCCCCAAATTGTGTGTAGCAAATGGTTTTGTGTTTGATCTGCAGACCCGACCAATCTCCCCCCCCGCGCCGTGGAGCCAGGGGAGGCGATGACGCCCAGCGCATGCCTCGCAAAGGCGAGTCTTCCCTAGCCAGCGCAGAGGGATGCTCGCTTAACTTTTGAAAATGAGTAAACAATGAGGCACCAGATTCACCTGGCTTACCAGGCCATGGGGGTAGGACGCTACATGGCCAAGCGCCCAAGCGCTGGTTTGCCATAAATGGCCCCAGGACACGTGACGTTTTTTTGTTAAAAATGTCTGTGCAAGCAATGCTCCAACAAAAGCTGTGGATGGACTCGACAATCCAAAGCTACCGTGCGACCTTTCCACGATTCCACGAACCATGAGATCTTCTCAAAAGCTGTTCAATGGCAGCCCTACGATCCTGGTTGTGGAACATAGACCTTCTGCGGCGGTATCAAAATCAGCCTTCCTTTGACCACTTTGTCACTTTCAATTGGCTCCCTTGGTATCATGGATAGTGGCCCGCAAGAAACCATTTCCCACAACCATGCCTACGAAAGTTGCAAAGCAGCCTCACAAAAAGGCTCATGTCCATTTCGCAGAACGACAAGCCCCATGAGGTTCTCCCGGTGTGGCTCGACAAGTTGCCCGAAGTTGTAGGGCCACCGCGCCGTGCGGATGCATTCCTCGGCTTGCCGGTAACGCACCATTGGTTGAGCAGCCTCTGGGTGGACAGCCCAGGTTTTTCGGACCTGGGTAGCCTCTGTTGGTCAGCCGGAAAGCGCCACTTGATCATGGCGCCAACAAACAAATGGCCAAGTGCCCCACAACCATGATCACTTAATCATGTGCGCCACTTGATCATGGTGCCCCACAACCATCGGAACACGGCGCCATGTCCGCAAAGAGGCGAAGTGCAGAACGAACTTCCAGCGCACAAAGGCAGGGGCCGTGGCCACGTCCGGAAACCAGAAGTCCAGCACGTGGTCAATCCGCGTGATGTCCTGCGCCCGCACGCTGCCCGCAACGTGGGGCGCAGCTCAGTAAAGACTTGTTGACATCCTGAGATTAGTAGCGAAATGTTCTGCAGTTTATCAGATTGAGGGTCCCCAACCAGGCCAGGAAAGCACCTTTGGAGGCCAAGTCGTGAAGTTGAGCCACTCTATCGAAGCCAGGAGAATGTCATCAAGCAAGATCAACAAAGGTCCCTGACAGCACCCCAGAATCGCCCGAGAACAACGCAACCACCAAATCGACCAACAAATCTCACCAGCAGTTGCTCACCGAAGCGAATTCGCTCCGGCTGCTGCGGGGCATTCCGGTGGATATTCCGATGCCACCAATACTCTGCGAAGATGCCAGGTACCGCCTGCTCCACCTGAATGGCCCGGTCACTCCCCAAGACTCCCGCCAAATCCAAAAGAACTGGAGGGGAGATGGTCAGACAAGTCTCGGACAGGGCCTACCGGAATGATGGTTGAAAGAAAAACAAGGCTTGAATGTATGCTGTCGAGGATGCCGTGTTTGAGACTCTCCTGCCAATCCGGATTCAATCTTGTTACTCTGAGAGCTCTTAGGAAGGCCACAGCTTATGAACATCACGTTTCAGAACGTACATTGACTTTCTAATATCTGCTTATGACAGAACATGAGGACCTTAAACGTTGAGCAAAATCTTGGAACTGCGTTCTATCAGAGATTTAGGCGCCGAGCAAATGGCAACCCAAATGCAGTAGGACCAGTTCATAACCAAATTGGCTCGTCGGCATCCGTCCAGCCATTGAAGGGCATTGATTTAGACATTTCTTCCAGTGGCACTCTGCTGTGTGGTGCTGTGCTTTGCCTTTGCTGCGCCCAAACCCGGCAACGTAAAATGCATGTGAAGTGCCCAAAGCGAGCGACATCCGTGCGATCGTGAGCTTCTTCTTCAACTATCTGCGTTCTGGTCTGCTGCATCCTTCGAGTGTTTGAGAGTTTGCTTTCATCTGTACAAAAGAAAGCTTGATGAACTATCAACCTCTGGAGAATCCGATGTGTCCCCCGCCACTATCTTCCGCAGCTCGCTTCTGTGTGGACCCACCAAGCATAGGTGTCCTTAATAGATGGCCCTGGTAGATGATGGAACCACCAGGTAAATCAGGGCCCTCTATTTTGTCAACCAAACCAACCAAAAAGAACACCTATGCCACCAAGGCTTTCATCGACTTCGCCCTGCCCAAGTGCCTGCAGCTTGTAGATGCCCGGCAGGGTGGGGATGAAGAGACCCGTGTACGAGCCTGCCCATTTGCTCAAGCATTCGCCCCACTGCGTTTCAGTGCATGGAAAGGGGCAAAGAAGAAGACACTGCCAAGTGCAAAAAAGTGAATCTGGAATGGCAGTCAAAGCACCAAGTGGGGCAATTTCAGGAAGATTGCGAGTCTTGCGCTTGACTCGAGGGAAAGCCGCACCTCCTTCAGACCAGACCCGTCTGAAAACTTCCCCACCCGTCCCCACCCCACCCCGGCCTGCATTGCCCGAGGGTGTGGCAGTGGTGATGGTGCCCACAGACTCCTATCGCCACTGCAAGCGTCAACGGCATAGGTGTCCTTGGGAAAAAGATAGGTTTCTCTGGTGGATGAGCAAAAACCATCAGGTAAACCAGGAATCGCCATCTATTTTTCTACCAAAACAACTAAAAAGGACACCTATGGTCAACGCCACCAGTCCTGGCCCTACCATGGCTTGTGATCTGTCGTGGGTAATGGCCACTTTGGGTCCAGCAATGTTCTTTCCAACCCTGGAAACCTCAGCTACAACCGCGTCTGTCCTCGTTGCCCTCACCGCGGGGTAAATACTTGATGATGAAGTGCGGCTCCCTTGAAATGCAGGTGTTTTTCTTGACTGGCTGGCTTGAACAGCTCTCAACAAGAAAGGACAGGAGTCGATCATCCAATTTGACCACCATGTTCTATGTTCCAAATCCGTCAAACTTCTCCTGTGCCGTCTCTTGCAAAAGAGCTCCTCCAAAAAATGTTATCCCCATACTTGCCCAGTACACTTCGTCAGGACGCCATGACCCTCGTTCGATGTACCGCCTCTTACGCTCAAAACACGTCTCCCTCTGCAGCCACCGGGACTTCCGGATGCTCGTGGGCACCGTGATGGCCGTGCCGGCGTGGGTGCGAGCGTTGATGACGAGTGTCCGCCGCACATCCACCATGGTCCTGGCGACCGAAATCACAAACAGTTGAGGGTTGCTTTGATTGCAATTGCACTTGTTGTACACTGCCATAATAAGCAAATTGGAAAAGGCCAGTTGGAGCACCCAATAGCCGAGAACACTGCGAAGAGTTCACCGTCCAAATCACCCCCGAGACGACGGGAGTCATTCAGAGGCAGCGTGAATTGTACACATGAATCAAGCAAAACCCGACGGGAGTGGGCGAAATCCATGGCACATTTGCGCCAAAAGCTGAAGGCATATGGAACAACACTCAAGAATTAGCATGCAGTGACCTGAACCAAAGGCCCCTCTGATTCGTCAAAGCAACGACAAAAGCTTGGCGGCCATGATCTCCCTGCCTCGCGATCCAATCGCGACAAGCGCCTTCGCCTTGCAATGCGTCCGCGGTTGACTAAGCACCAACCAATGCCGGGCGGCAAATGAAGGCAGTTAGCCAACAGAGTTACTTGGCTCACATCTATGCGCATGCTTAGCACTTCTTCCGATTAACCAATCTCCAGTCTCGGGAAAGTCTGCACAGTTCTCCAAATGATGCGTGTCCGCTCCTGCAGCTTGATTGACCTTCCTGCATGAAGAACCCGCAAATGTGTGCATGGTGAGGGCTAGTGACTTACTTGTCGTTGCTGCGGAAGTCCGGTGTGCTCCCTCTCTCCCTGTCCATGCCGCTGTTTCCGGGTTTGTTGCAAAAAGAGAATCTACAATCCACTCACGCGCACTTCAGCCGAGCTGCAATACGTCTGGGCAGCAGTTGCCTCCATGTGGTCCCAAATGTAGACCCGTGTGGTGCTGAGCACGTCCTTCGGCCGCACCACCCAAGGCGGCCATGCTGAATCATGATTTGTCAAGCAAGGAACAGACTAGAGGGTCAACTTGTCCCTTAACCAACCGAAAATTAGACTACGAATTCCACAAATGATACGGAACTCTATAGACCAGTTCCCCTCCCTCCGAATTGAACAGCACTTCGTACCCCGTCCTGTCGGTCCAGGAGTGGCGCACGGTACACGTTCTGCGGCATCATCCAGGCCTGCACTAGACTCGGCATCACCTTCCGTGCAACCAGTGCCGCATCAAAGCTGAAGGGAGGCATGGAAGACACACATCCTTCCAGGCTCCACCATTGCGGCTTGGCTGATCTTTGCGATGCAATTCCGGGATGCAGCCCGCATCGGAAATCAGAGTCATGATTGTTGAAACATGAAGCGCATCAGTGACTAGATGGCTATGACTCAAAACAGGCGGACTCTCTTGTCTTGGTGTCATAAGGGAGCCAGGAAGAAACTAGCAACTCGAACGGAGCTCCAATTCTCACACATTCCCTCCGTTGCAACGGGCGGAGCGGATCCAAGGGTCGACCCTGAAACAGAATCAGAGGCGCCTGCCCAAGACAGAGACTGATTGAAATATTTATTCCGTCAGAAGAGGACATTTCCTTGAAGGCAAGTGACAAACAGTTGGGTGATGCATGGTATCAAAGGCCTTTTGAAAGGCAGCAAGAAGTGCCGTCGGAAAGGTTCCAGGACTAGTCAATAACAACTGAAGGTCAACAACCCTAGACGCCCGTGGATGCCAACAATCTTTGGGATTGGTTTCCTGCAGTCCAGATTCCAGATGTGCCGGGCCGCACCCTCCTGGGACCCTCTTTCCCAGTGGGTCAACCACCCCCGCCCCCCTCCCTCCGCCCTGCCCCCGCTTCCCCCGCTCTTCCCTCGCCCCGCCCAGCTCGCCCTGGCCTGGTCGGTCTCCTGCTGGCGCTGCGACACGAAGGGGAACAGCGGGCCCTGGTGGCCCACGAGCTGCTCGGGCGGCACCACCAGCTCCACGTCGAAGTACCGCACTTCTGGCCGACGCGGGGCGAAGGGGCGAGGCGGCGGGGCGAGGCTGCCGGTGGAGGGCTGGATTCGGGGGGGGGGGGGGGAGGTGAGTCTTGCTTTCTCTGGGAACTCCCTAAGCTTGTGTTTCAAACCCTCAATAAGACTGCTGTGATATTGCAATCGTAGCATCATCCTGTTTGGAGCAGGGTGGTGGTCGGAAAGTGCAATCTTCCTGAGATACAGAACTCGGCTGCATCTCCAGCATTCAGCATCCGTTCAAGTCCAAGTGGCGTCCAAGCAAGGAGATACTACAAAGTTGCTGCCCTCATGCTGCATCAATGCGTTCTGCCCGCTCAATGTTATGCTCATGTGTGCGTGCATCTATGTACACTGTATATGTGTAATGCTGTACATGTTTCAGGATAAACATGTGTGCGTCATATATTCCATAAGGTGAGTTGGAGACATCGGCTTCTGAAGCCATCTCAGTGGAGATCCATGCGATGCACACCAAACAAATGATCACTGAGAATCCGCTGAAGGCAAAGAGCTGCCAGGGCTCTGAGATCGTCTTTGAATCAGGAGTGTTGGACAAACTGGACAAACTGTGATTGTTTTGGTTTTGCCTTTTTGTTGGGGGAAGCGTTTTGCTTGACGAGAAAGGCAAATTGCCGGTATCCAACTGAAAAGAGCCATCAGCACGCAAGTGCCCGAATGAACACCCAATCGAACAAATTATCAAATGCATTCCTATCAAAGATGAACGCGGAGTCGTGACGTGAAACCGCCTTCAGCCATGTGCATCGTGTCCCCATACCACAGGCGCGACAATCTGGCGCACCTGTCTTTCGGTGCTAGGCGTATGACAAAGATTCAGGCATCACTTGCAAATGACTTGTGCCTGCACCATGCTGCTTTGAGCAAAGATCATGCCAAAGCTGGTCTAGGGTCTCGAAAATTCCTTCCTGATATGGAACAAATCAATACCAGCAGCCAACCAGTTCCGCGATTGTGGTGTGCCAAGGCATGACTCAGGTATCACCTTTGCGCTTTGCTAGTTCCTTTGCTTCACTCCGCGTGGCGCCATGTGCGATAAGTTTACGTATGTCAGAACAAATACTGGAATGCACACTCGCTGCACTCAGCCAGGCATGCTCCTCCTTCAAACGGTCGAGCTGCTGGCTAAGCAACTCGACTTTGGCAGTTGAAGCTCTACCCGTCGCACGGTAGTAGCTTAGTCTACCTCTCATCAACAAAAGCTCCCTTGCTCGTTGATCGCCATTCTCATCATTTCGCCGATACTTGCATTGATTTCCTTTGGCTGGCAAGCTTAATCCTCTGAGCTCTGCATGAGATTCCTTGCTTAATCGCAACGCTGCCTCTGCCTGGGTTTTCTTGACCAGCAGGCCGTTCTCAAGGAACCTGTTCAATGTTGTATGCACATGAGCTTGCATGCTTATCACAAGATGATGCATGCCCCTGCTGTCTTGATATAAAGAAATGTCTCCTCCAAGTTCTTCTTGCAAGAAGCTCCGAATCCACTGAATGACGGTTCTGTGCTTTTGCGTCATTCGCAACTGAGCTCCCACTTCTGCAGCCCGAATGTAAATACTCCCTTCGGCATCGAAAAAGCCAGTCACGTAAGGCCAAGAGCAAGCTAATTGCTCATTTGAATCCTCAGATTTCAGAAAAGTCAGAGTCTCATTCAATTTGCCTCTGAATTCTTTGCTTGTGACTTCAGCAGGGATCAGTTCTAGCTGCGCGCGTTTAGCAAAACTGTGACTCAGGAGCTGCCTTGCCGCGAACCTGCTCGAGGCTCCGTATGCCGCCCACTTTAAGCAAGGCTGTCGCAAACCCCGCCCGTCGTGGGTTTTGTAAATCCCGCCGCCGAATGCCACCCGCATCAGCCATAAAACTTCCGCATGGCAGGCCACTTGCGTCACACTTAACGTCTCTGCTCTGACGCATCCGTCGCCATCGAAGAACCCCGCTAAATATTGCAAGCGCTGAAGCGGTATGTCTGCATCTGGTGGCGCACAAGCGGCTAGCGGAAGGGAATACAAGCGCCCTGAGGCCTCGAAAGATGTGATGGCAGGCCAATGCAGTCTGGATTGGAGGGACTTCAGCTTGCTGAGGCGCCTCTCAATCTGTACGAGTGACTTGCCTTCCAGCAACGCCGAGTACGTGGAAGCTGCTCGTAGCTGTGGTCGAATGCGTCGATACCATTGGCACATTGTGTGCCATGTCATGGTCAAGGATGACACAGAACCATGGTAGCCACATTTGCTTGATCATGGTGATCCAATCCGAGCAACACCTAACCGAGCCAAACAGAACAAACAATAGCCCGGGCGTGGCAGCCGGATATGACATGCAAGCTGGAAACAACTGCACAACGCTAAATGGAATCAGTCAATGGGGACTCGCCGAAAAGGTCTCAACCATGGGAACAAGCGCTGCTGACGCCTCACCAGAAACCAAGATCATTCAAACGCGCTTTGAATTGAAGCTGTCATCTATTGGATTCAGAATGCCTGACATGCAACGGTTTGCGTTGCGGCTGAAGTGTGCAAAATGTACATATGCCTATGCGAGTGCCCGTCAGCGCTCGGTAGCACGGTGGCCAGAACAGATCATGCGTGTGAGCAGTTGTTCAGCTTGAATCACTGAGCATCCACATCTAGAGCATCGATATAGAGGCTTTGCCTGTCACGTCGTCACGCCCTGAAATTGCTCCTCAAGAGCAATGAAGCGGGCAGGCCCTTGCTCCCGCACTCCCACTGGAAAACACGAAAGGGACGCCCGTGTCCCGGGCCCCGGGCTGACTATGCTTTGTATCAATGGTTTCTACCTTGAAAGAACATGAGAGACAAGCAACCCGCCCCCCCCCCCCCCCGCCTGGGTGATAAGAGACATCGTCGAAAATCTTGATTGGCAACTCAATTCGGTCCTCAGCACGGCCCGGGAAAGCGCCTTCCGTCAACTCCAGGTTCGGCATCTCGATCCAAAGTATCAAGAATAAAAAGAATCATTTCGGAAAGCCGTGCCGCTCACACAGGGGCCTGCACCTTTCCAAATGTCACATAATTTGGATGTGCTTTAGTCACTCACAAATTTTCGCCGCTCGTTCGAACTAGGGCGAGCACCCCAGAAAAGCATCCAGCGCTGAACATTAATACACTTACACACTTAACGCTTTTTGAATCTCGCCCTCTGCATGCGAATCTTTGTTTTGGGCAGTCCAAAGAAAGCCACTGGAGTGCGGCGAGGCGCCATAAAGCGCATCCGCAGCGCCGTGCTGTAGTTCCACGCCTCCGGACCTCCCAAGGCGATACGACAAGCGGGGCGCACTTGACGGGGCCTTTGGGGATCCCCACAGCAAGCCTTGACGTGTTGACTTCTGCAAGAATCAACAAAAGGCAAGCTCAGCTGAGGTGTGGTTTGGTTCGTTGGCTGGTTGAAGAAAACCTCCCATCCCATTGTTTCGGCGGGCCTCTGAGTTGTTCCCCCAAAGGTTAAGTTTGAGGGGTTCGTAGTCTTGACAAAGAGTGGTGGGAGAATCTCATTCTCAAGGTTGCGAGGCGGGGGCAGCTAGTTGGGGTGCTGGGTTGCACTAAGTGCTGTGGTGCTTCTTCACAGCTTCTGGATGCTGACAAAGGGCTGCTTGCAGGCGCTATTTTGGCGGGTGCCAAGCAGTGCTGTTTGGGGGCTGGCGCTCTTGCAGGTGCCATAGCTGGTGACGTGCGTCCAATCAACATCTGGGCTAGCAACCCGAAAGCACTCTGCCCCTCGCTGTCCAGGGACCAACAGGGGGGCACACGCCATGCAACAAATGCTCGATGGTCCTGGAGGCGGATCAAAGAAGAAAGGCAGCTGCAGGTTATAATCTGAAGCATGCAACACACCAGCAGCTTTTTCCTGGACATTTTGCCCCGCCTGGGACATGCACCGACTCATCCACCTCAAAGGTGATGTTGGCCACGGTGAATTCAAAGGACGCAAGCTCCCCTGCCAGGAAGCTGGATCGGTGAGAAAGATGCCGGAGGGCCGTCCGAGGCACAATAGAACTAAAATGGCTCATTGGTATCTGGTTTCAGGGGCTCAAGTCGCAGTCCATTGAGAAAAAAGTTGCCCTGCTTGCGAAAATCAGCCAGCATGCATGTTCCCGGCCAATTTTCTACAGCCCCAAAAAATATCAAGTCGAACAGCGCACCTGCCGGCATCTCAACCTGAAGCCCTCAACATGACGAGGCCCAGACAAGTCATCACCGGCATAGACCCTACCCAGTGAGTCCAATCTGTCCAGATCTTCTCGTCATCTCTATTCCAGCCCTCTCGGCTTGCCTCCGTACATGAGGCTCGTGCTGTGGGCGGTGCCGTCCCGTGTGCGCACCACTACAGTGATGGGCCGCGCGAACTCCGGGCCTGGGCCGGACCGATGCGACTCGGCACCTCTGGGAGACGGAAGTCGTGAAGCGGATCAACCCTTGGGAGGGGTGACAAAAAGAAGAAACTGACTCAGGGGATCCACTGCCACAAAGGGTGCAGCCGCCCACCCCCAGGTTACTGTGTGTCGCATGTTTGCTGGGCTTGGTTGGGCAGACCACAAGGCACGCCAAGGGCTTGCAGACACGACGCGCATCCCACGAGATTGGTAGCGTACTTTTCAAGACTTTGGGCAGCATCCATGCTCCCAATCTCAACAGTAGCGTTCTCCTCTTCCAAGCACCAAGTTCAGTCTTCTATGAACCATTTTGCCCTAGGCCTCTCTGAACAGGCACACTCCCCCTTGCAATCGCCAGCCGCCCATAGCCCAACTTTCCACCGCGGCACGGAGCGCATAGATGCTGCGCTGGACGATCAGCGTCACATTGCCCTGGTCCTAAAAAGCTGAGTGCGTAGCTACTACCCTCGCGCGCGCGCGCGCGCACAATCTGCAGACAGAACTCTGCAGCCCCTCTGCGGTCCTTGTAGACATGGTACACGGGAGAGCTGAATTCGATAGGTCCGTCTGACACGCAACGGCCGGAAGGCTCCTGGCCGTCCAACAGGAATTTGGGGGCAACCAGCCGGGCCTCGCCATGCCTTTTTGCGGACGGAAAGTTCGTGCTCTGTGAACCGAGTCTTCTTTTCTTGAACAATGCAAAATGTCGGGAACCGCACTCTGGTAGTAGAACTAGCTAGAATCGCAGTGTTCCCAACAGGACCCAGGACTAACTCTTGAAAAGAAGGCCCAGAGGTTGCGATCCCAAAGCTCGGCTTGGGGCAGCGATTGCCCTACCCGGCCTCTCCAAAAGGCATGGGCTCGAGGACGTACAGCGGGTCGCAGTGCAAGCAGCGTAGGACCTTAAGCCGAAACGATGCAAAGCTGAGCACGGGCAAGCCTTAAGAACAGAATCGTGATGCGCGACAAAAGCGTTACGCATTCACAAGGTTCGTCTTGCATTCAGAGTGATCCACAGGCTCTGAGAATCCTGGGGTTGGTTGCTCGGATCTCTTGCAGCAAGCGACGGAAAATGACGCGGCCAAGCTGCCAACTGAAGGCCCGCCTCTATACATGCAGCCACAGCTCTGCACTTGCACTCACAACCGCCGTGAGCCTTGCCCGTCCCCTTGGGTCTCCGCGCCACCTTCCCGTCAGGGCCGGTGGGCTCGGGGCCGCACAACTGGCAGTGGGGGAAGCGGTTAGAGCACCGCTCGCAGCCTCGGCCAACTGGACTCCACAGTGTCATGGAGCCACCCGGCAATCCCAAAACGGCGATAACCTTCCGAACAAGCCATGTTGCCCAAAAGCCTCCCCATCTTTGTGGATTCGAACGGCGTCCAAAGACGCAATGTCAAGCCAGGCCGCTGCCTATAAATCCAACCAACTTGGGAGGATCCAACACAACAGGCGTCCCTTTGGCGCTTTCTCCGCTCGTGCCGCCTTCTTGGCAGCTGGGCGCCTCCGCGCCGGGCGTTGCCGGCGCGGTGAGACCGTCTTCGCCTCGGCGCCTCTCCGGCGTGCTCCGAGTCTCGCATGGCAAGGCGAGTGGCAAAGCAGCAATTGGCTCCAGTGGTAAACCAAAGTTTCTTGTCTAGACATTCAAAAAGTGCAAGAAGTCCAAGGGGAGCCTTTGAACGAGGATGGCATCATCCAACTTGCCTTCGATAGCCAGGCATGCGACACTCCGGCGCAAGCCCTAGTCAAAGAACACTGGCATCTGATGATTCTTGAGTCTGGAAGAAGCCGACTGCTCCCTCCCCAACATGAACAGTTGCCAATGAGGTACTGACCCAGGGTGTGCAGCGTTTTCCCTTGACCACCAACCGGTTCCGCGCAACAACAAAAAAAGAGGGCAGTCGGCGGAGGCCAAATCCTCGCCGCTCACCGCGGCTTCCGCACCGCCCGGGTGAGGCCCGGCGGCGCCGCCTGCGCCTCCGCCTGGGTCGCAGCTCAAAACGGGGACGTGGACGCGGAGGTGGGCCGCTTGGTCTTTGCTTTTACAAGAATCTATTTTTGGGGTCCCCCAATTTGAGACAAACCGAGTTGGAATCCTTTCTGGTTTGGAAACACCCCCCAAAAAAAAACAAAGGATGATGTGAGCCTCATCATGATAATTGGGTCCCCCGCAGAACTGGTGTTCGGAGGGCACGGGAAAAAAAAAAAAAAAAACGGCCTCTGGGCAAGGCCACCGGACCGAACGACAACATTCAGCGGCCACTGGGCCGCGGGCTGTCTCCTCCGTGGTGTCCGTATGGGTGGCAAAGTGAGCCTCGCCCGGGAACATCTGGTCGCGGTCTTGCACACTTCACATGCATCTGTCCGAAAACTTGGACCCCGGATTCGCTAATGCGCAATGACCATTGGCACTGCTCACCGGGCGTATGGAGCAGAGTGCACGTGCCCTCTGCCGCCCACCCGCGTCCCGCCTGGCGCCGCCGCTCGTAGCGCTCCTCCCGCGAGTTCCGCAGCGCCGCCGGCGCCGCTGGCGCCGGGGGCGCCGCGTAGGCGGCCGGGGCCGGGGTCGGGGAAGGCTGCGCCGGGCCGAAGAGCTCGTGCCGTGCCCCGGCGGGCCTCGGTGAAACACCGAGCTCTTTCTAAGTGGGTCCCGCCTTTGGGTTTGCTGCTGTTCTCTCATGTATGCATGGTTGACCCTAGTTCCCCAGCTCACCCTCATGAAACGGCATCCTAAGGAGTCGGAACTCCAACCCCTTGGAGAGCAATGAACTTGGCTCGGCTTTTATGTTCATCCACTGGCATGTCACACGTCAGGTCGTCAGGTCAATGCAGGCATCGAAGTCTGACTGTTGACTTCCAGTCAACAAAGTGATTCAGGGATCCTTACATTATATACCTGAACATTGCAACTTGCACATTGTGGTTTCCCTTTATTTTGGTGTTGAAAAAGCAACATGCTTCAACTGGTTGCCAAATTTCTATCTTTTAAGGAGCCCTGTGATTGGCGCTGAAAACCCGGAGAACCGAATTCCTGGGTGGCCGGCGGCTTCATGTCAAAGCCAGGCATTCTCGCCTGCGGTGGTGCAGGGTCTCTCCGGGCCGCGCGCGTGCGGGAGGTGCGTGATTCAGTGATGGAAGTCCAACTGAGTCATAATCAAAACCGGGTACTAAAATGGTCTACCCAGAACCATGTACAGGATTAAGAAGGCGGCCGCAGCTATTTATGGTGACTTGCGCAAATATGCACCAGGTCTTTGGGAAAAGTTGGTTAGCCGAAGCACTGCAGTCACTCCAAGACAGCTCATTGGCGGGAGCTGCCTCAAACCAGCTTTGAGCTAACTATTGCTGGTTCAATAAATACCTGTTGACAAGGGGGTAGCATGTGGTGCCAAGGTGCCGCAGGATTGTGCCTACAACACACGTTGGCCTTAGGCTATGGATACTGTGCTCTTGGACTGCTGGGTAACTTTGTGCTGAGCAACAGGCAGCTTCGTTGACGTGGCAATTTCTTGAAGAATCCACACTTGGGTTTGGCAGAGAATGAAAGCCCTTTCTGGGTTTATCAAAGCTCCATCAAGCCCCTGACACCAAAGGCCAAGTCTCCAACCCGGCCTCCGCACTGGCAGGTCGGGGCTTGCGAACACGGACCACCACCTCAGCCTGCAAGGGAGCACGGAATCTCTTTGCTTCGAGATGTTTTTCCTCGACTTGCCAGACACGCTTCAGAAGGGTTTCGGCAGTTGTCAACTGGGAAGTTGCTCAATTATTCCCTCCTTCCAAGCAAGCCCCAGGGACCCCGCTTGAACACGCTGCACCGGGCACGAGCCCACGCCGCCTCCGGCGTCTCTTCTGGCCCACCAGGGGGAACGGCGGGGGACCTGGGACGATATGGGCTCATGGCGCCCAGAAAGTCAGATTTCCAGAGACGAACTCAACGACAATTGGACAAATCATGTAACACCCCAAACAAGTCATTTCACCTCACCCTTTCTCGAAAGTTGCCGCTGCACAACAAAGTGGGTCGCACAGGTTTTGCTTTTTGGCAGCACTTTTGCATTGGGTCGTGCTTGGAATCATCCTTTGCTTTGTTGCTGCGCTTGGCCTGCCACCAATCGTCTTGATCTTTAGCCAGAAAGCTCTCCCGGTTGTGTGTCTGTGTGTTGCGCAATGACGGAAGCAACACAACAAAACAACAAGTGCCATAAAGCTTGATCTCTTTTGGCATCAAGTCTGACTAACCCTCCAGTTCTCTCAAAGCGTCCCTTGCCCAAACAGACCCAAACTGCTCAAAGCCTTCGAACCCCTTCCCCCCCAGCCTCTGGCATCCAACCCCCGGCAATCCCGCTGGCAACCATAAATTGATCTCTTTGGGCACCAAGCCTGACTAACCATTCAGCTCTGTCACAACCTTCGAACCCTCCTTCTTCCACTCCCTGCTGCCCAGAAATTTGGGGAGGGTATCCATGGCTCAGATTGGTCACTTGAGGGTGTTGAAACTCTGAGTTCTTTGATTCAATGCTGTGTGGATGTTTCAAGTAGTCTTCCCAGCCTCTAGGATATTTCACGCTGGACAAGTTGGAGATCCCTAGTCTCAACCCTGTTCTGGGCGCCCCGGCCAGTGCGAGGCCCTGCGCAGCTTCCCCAGGCGCCCCAGGCGCCGCAGCAGCTCCTCCGCGCTGGGCCGCTTCTCCGCGTCCCGCGTCAGCAGCGAGGCCACCACCTGGCAGAAGTCCTGCGCGCTGACGCGAGCCGTCGCGAGCTGACGCTTGGGAGGGGCGAGCGGTTGCGGCGAGCTCCGGCTGTCCTGGAACCTGGGTACTTTTACGTGCCCGGGCGGCACGAGATAGAGTACTTACACGCTACACCGGCGAGGGCATGGAAAGTTGGAAAGGGGCGAGGAGAAATGATTGGACATGGAGGAGAGGTGCCGGAGAAATTGGGGAGGGGAATAGAATTCTCGCATGAATCGGTGAGAATCACTTGAGTTTTAGATTGGCTTGGACTTGGTGAAAAGGACAACTGATGCCAGGATTCGGAGAGATCACTCAGAACGGGCGAAGTTCCCTTTTGGTGGTTTCATGTTGGCTTGGATTTGAACCTTTGGTCCTGGACCCAAAAGAAGAAAACAAATCATACCCCGCACAGCTCCGATTCAGTGCCCGTGCCACGGACACCCAGAGTAGAAGCTTGCCAAAGTCAAGCAAACAACTAATGGATCCGTGTCCACCCTGGGTGCGGAAAGGACCGGCCCCCCCCCCCACATTTCTGCACAATGATATGGTCTTTGTTTAAAGGAGACCGACATGAAACTATCCACCCTCCAAAAAGGCAACTGTTCATCCGACAAAACACGGTGCCCAACTTGCCTGTGGTTTGACCAGAAATGAATCTCAGGCCCATCTGACTCGACCCCTCCCAAGCCGCTCCGCAGGCCGGTTCAAGGGTGCGTACTGGCCCCTGAGCACTGCGGCGATGACGTCCTGACATGCAGGGTGCTTTTCGTCAACCTGAACCGTGCTTGCGTGTGCTGTGCACTTTTCACTGAAAGGGGCACACATGCAACTGTTGGTACCAGCAAACCATCCTGCTAGCAGCTCCCCCAAACATGCAACGCCTATCATACAGACACACAAAGGCACAGGATGAAGCAGGGACATGATAGACGAGCGGCCCAGAACCAGAATACAAGTAAGCCTTAAGTAAGCTAAGTCAACGTCAAGTGTGACATGGCCATCCAGTGAACATCTTAATCCAACCACCAAAATAGGTATCCTAAAATGGGTGCTAAAAATTCAAAAATCCCAACCAAACTGGGATCCCCTGGAACGATTTTGACCACCACAGCCACATGCGACTCTTACCCCGCGCGCATCCCTCTTTGGCTCCTGCAGGCTGGGGCCTCTGAAGGGCAGCTCCAGGTTCAAGAGCTCGTAGAGCACCACCCCCAGCGACCAGAGGTCGGTGGAGTGCGAGTAGGGCCGGCCTGCGCACTCGGCGCTCGGCTCTGCGCGTGGCTCGGAAGGCTTCGGGGCCAGGATGTGAACAGTCGTTGCTCAATCATTCCTAAAAAGGCTGCACTCGTACATCAATGCCCGACATTGTTTGTCCTCAAGGAAAGGATTGGGCACCAATGGAAACCGATAATTCCGCCGTAATGTTGTGCGTTGCTCGCGCCCAAAACAAGCAAAACATGACCATCGCAACAAATCAGAGGACTGAGCAACTTAGAGGAGTGAGCTGACAGCCTGTTCTGCCCCGCTCGT